CACGGGTTATTATATTTAAAAAATATAAAACGATAGATTATATCCATAGATAATCTTCAAAAATTATAAATTTTGAATTTTTTTGAAATAAAATAAATACAAAACACTTTGTCTTATAACAATACACACATTTAACACTTATTTCTCTTTGCACTATATAAAAATTCATAAATACTATAAACTTTATTAGGCCAAAACTCAATATATTCAAATTAAATCAAATACAATATCTTATGTGTGTAGTTTTATAAAATTATTAATATGAAAATATATTGAGTACAAGTGAGTGATGTATTTAAAATTGTTTATAACTCTTTTTTAACTAAAATGATATTGCAATTGACTAATTCAAACATTTATAGATATATACAACTCTCTATATCAATATATACATTTAAATTAATAAAAAAATACATATATGTCAACTAAAATATTGAAATTAATAATTCAAAAAAAAATTTCAAATAATATATATGCCCGCGGTACACCGCGGGTTAACATCTAGTTTATATCATAAAGAAGGAACTAAAAATAAAATTATTTTACCAAAAACGAAAAATATGATATAAATAAATAAAATATAAAAAAATTTCCTCTATTTTTTATTTAAAATAATCATTGTTAAAATGTAAGATATAAAAGTAGTATAAAAATAAAAAAGCAGTATAAAAATAATATGTTTAAGCTACTTTTTGTATCTAGTTTATTACTATCAATACATCAACTTCTACCAAAAATTAGAATTATTAAACTCTTAAAATTTACTAATATATTCTTAACCACGTAACTTCAGACGATTGGCGCGCACATTTGAAATGATATATAATTTTTAACAGTTTTGTGCTTAATATTCAAAAATACCGTTAATATTGTGATATCCACTAAGCAACTATCTTATTTATTATTTATATAAATTTTCTATTATATATATATATATATATATATATATATATATTTGTGAAATGCTATATAATTTTTCAAAAGAATAAATGAAATGTTGTTGACAAAATGTGTAACGAATTATTTAATTTTTGCGTGAATATTTAAAATACCGTTAACTTATTTATTCATTGGGTTGTATTTAAAAATATAATATATATATATAATCATTATTATATATATATATATATGTGCAAATATTTACTTTTTTGTTTATATGAAATGGACAATGTATATTAGTTAAATGATTATTTTTCTGTATAATTAATTTTCTAGTTAATAAGAAATATATTTTCCTATAATTTCAAAGTAAATGTTTTATTATAAATATCAAATTTTAACCAAAAATAACCCTTAGTCAAACCTATTAATTATTTTCAAAATGGGTAAATTATTCAAAATGCCAACAGTCAATTTTCATACGTATTTACCTAATACAGACTTTTGAGTATGGTAATACTATTTTATTTAACATATTAAAATTAAAAATACACCAAAAATATCTATACAAAAATTGCATGTTGACTACAACAAATATATTCAAGAGAAAGTATATTAAATATAGGAAAGAATATTAAGAGAGCGCTTGATACCACAACAAAAATTACTGCTTTCCTAAAACTAACAAAAATACTACATTTCCTATTATAATTTGTTGACTACAATGAATATATTTTTTTTTTATATATAGCTAGCGGATGTTCAATCAGTGTAAGGAGAAAGCTTTGTATATTGGGTTTGAATGGTTACCTCGTACAACTATAATATAGGGTATACTGTTTTGATAGTTACCAATCACAAAAGCAATATCAAAAGCGTTTATTATAAAACAGTTTTTTGGTGAATAAATTTTACATTAATACAAAAAATATATCAAAAGCGTTATTTAAAAGCGTTACTCTTAGATTTTTTGTACATCTTTAATGTACCACTATTTAGTACAACTTTAATGTACCACTATTTAGTACAGTTTTACACTATTCCGTAAAAGCTTATCGTCCAGCTTATATCTAAAAAAATTGTACAGCTTAGTGTTACCAATCAGACTCATTTGTTTTTTTTTTTTTTAAAGTAGATGTTTGAATACTCAAAAAATAAGTGTTAGGATTACCAAAAAAAAATTAAATAATAAGTGTTAAGCATTGTGTTTCTAATTAGCAAGTTGGCAAAAATTAAGATCACATCATTTGGCATGCTATTTCTTCCCCTTATTCCTTTTTTTTTTGTTAAAAAGTTTTCATTAAAAGTCGGATACATTGTTTGGATCAAAACTTTAAAGGCCATAGAAAAGCAAGAAACAAATTGGGTTCAATTGGTAACACAAAGTTTTACAAGTTTTATAGAAGTAAGCTGGAGCGGTAAGCTGTTATGGAATAATGCAAAACTGTAAGAAAGAGTGCTACACGAAAGCTGTACAAAAAGATGAGAATAATGCTTCTAGTAACGTTTTTGATATTGCTTTTGTTATTGGTAATTGTCAAAGCGGTAGCAGCGGTAAGGGATTACCATTCTGAGCCAAAAATGAACCTAAAAAGGAGACCTTCCACTCGATTTTGGCATAAGGCATTCCAAGACTCACATGAATAGGTAGTCCAAGACTGCTAGAGCAAAAAGGAAAAAGACATTGTATAGAGAAACAAGGTCCAAGGGATGCCCATGTGTCTTCCTAAAAGGAGATACATCGACCATGACAGAGTTTCAGGATATAGTTATTAACACTTTACTTTAGTAAAAGTGATTTCTCATTAACTTGTAAATGTACAAGTGTATCTACTATATATATAACAGAATATTGACTTTACTTAAGCGAAAGAAAACTTAAGTATTAACCAACAAACTATATAAGCTTAATATACCCCCTTAAAGCCGAATTCACCTTATTGAGAAAGAGGCTTGAAACACACATCCTATTAAGCAAAGAGTGAAATGGTCCTAGATGAAGAGCTTTTGGGCCGGATTCTAAATATAAATTTGTTTCTTGAAGCTCTACTAGTTGATTTTTTTTTTGGATCTTCTGGCCACGTAATTTATGTTTTAGATAAAAAAATTTTGGGAGACTCACAAAAATGCCCCTTTTTCAATGCCCCTTTTCAAAAATGCCCCCTTTGGCTGTCCATTTTTAAAAATACCCCTTTTTATGTACAAAATGACTAAATTACCCTTCTTTTAATAAAAGATATCACAAATATATGAGGAAATATAACAAAATTAGGTCCACAAAATACAAAACATTTTTTGGCAGGAAAATTGATCCCGCAATTTTTCCCGCAAAAACACTTGTAAAAACTTGTAAAACCTTTAAAATACCTTGTAAAATTTTCCCGTAAAATTTTTTCCCGCCAAAAATTTTTTTTTTGCGGGAAAAGTGATTCCGCAATTTTTTTGGCGTTAAATTTTTGGCGGGAAAATTTTTGGCGGGAAACATTTACAAGGTATTTTAAAGGTTTTTTACAGGGTATTTATAAGGTTTTACAATGTATTTTAAAAGGTTTTACAACGTATTTATAAGGTATTTATAAGATATTATAAGATTTTACAAGCTATTTTATAAGGTTTTACAAGTTATAAAGTTTTACAAGTTTTTTATAAGGTTTTACAAGTTATAAATACCTTATAAAACCTTATAAGTACCTTGTAAAACCTTTTAAAATACATTGTAAAACCTTACAAAAACACTTGTAAATACTCTGTAAAACCTTTAAAATACCTTGTAAATTTTTCCCGCCAAAAAAATTGCGGAATCACTTTTCCCGCAAAAAAATTTTTTTGGCGGGAAAATTTTTTGGCGGGAAAAATTTTGACGGGAAAATTTTACAAGGTATTTTAAAGGTTTTTACAAGTGTTTTGGCGGGAAAATTGCGGGATCACTTTTCCCGCCAAAAAATATTTTGTATTTTGTGGGCCTAATTTTGTTTCAAATAAGGGTAAAATGGTCATTAAAAATTAAAAGAGGGCAAACTTAAAAATGGACTCTCAAAGGGGGCATTTTTGAAAAGGGGTATTGAAAAAGGGGCATTTTTAACAATTTCTCAAAAATTTAAAAGAATAGATATAAAGTTTTATATAAGAAAATTCAACAATACAGATTTTTGTTGTGATTCTTGCAATGTAATATTTTGCGATTGATCCTTTGCATCCATCTGAGGAAAGCATGAACTTATAACGTATCAAAAATGATGAAAGAGCAAATGGAAAAAAAAAAAAGAACAGAAATCAAATTACATAAGCAAAATTTTAGTGATCAAAGTTGACATTAAATGATGAATTAACAAATGCAATTCAAGCAAATATGAATAATCGAATGGTCTTGCATCGCTTGAGAATTGATTAAATGTGCAAAGTTGTAAAAAAAAAAAAATTGAAACAAAAGTTGTAAATTTGTTGTATTTCTAGTATTATTAAAAGATGGTAATGCGGGATGAATGTAAGAACTCTATCATCAAAACAATGTACTATAAAATAATTCAATCTATCAAATTATCAATATACAAGTTTTCTAAAAAAAAAAAAAAAAAAAAAAAAAAAAAAGTTTTCTAAAAAATGGTCTACAAAGTCACTTACACGCCAGGCGTTCGTACCGTAATTATTACTTTCTTAACGTTAGAATTAGATGTCAGAGTTATTAAGCGGCGTCAGACGGTTATATGTGCTCATAGACGACGGTTCTAGGCGGTCCAATAAAGTCATTACTCAATTATCATTTAATTTTAATTTGTTTGTTTCGTTAAATTTACAAGTTTTGACATCAAATATTTAGTAGTTATAAAGGTTTTTATGTTGTTTAAATGATTTTTTTTCTAATTTTTATTTATGAGTTAACATTATTGATTTTCACTTAGATGTTTTGTCTAATATTCTCTTTATGATAGTTTTTTTATGTTTTAGTTTTGATATTAAAAATTATTTTCTTTAAATGTTTAGTTTAGTTTGAGCTTCGATTTTATTTTTAAGGTTTATCATATTAGAATTTCTTATATGTGAATCATAATATTTTATTTATTATACCATGCATATATATTGTTTTATGTTAACATTTAAACCGCATACAATCACCTAGATTACGATTATGCGTTCGAGCGCTTCCTCAAATAGCGATACAAGTACATTCTCCTAGAAGGCAAGCATAATAAAATTCTTTAGGGCATGGATGGGATTGGGGGCAATCATTATCCGTCTTGCATCGCTCCCCATTGGTCAGCTCAATCTCGGCTGTTAGGCTCTCTTTTGATGTCGAGCTTGGTGCAGTGGCTTGAATTCCAGAGATATTCACCACCAATGTGCCTATAAAATGCAAAAATATAACACAATTTATTTAGTCTCTTAAGTTGATTTAATCAATATGTAAGAAAAATATAGATAGAGAAGCTAACATGAAAGACAAAGAACAAAAACGATGAAGATTGTAGTTTTTGATGCGGCCATGTCTTTAGCTTGAAATTTTTGGATATGAGGATTAGTTTATGGTTTAGAGTTTATAAACACGTTTGGATATCTGTATGTGGTGGTTTAGATGCTTATATATAGTGTCTTGGAGCATGAAATTAGTAATTTAATTAAAACATAATATGACTTTTAAAATTAAGATTTTGGCAATTAATTAATTGGTGAAGACTACGAAAGAAAAAATTAGGAGGAATTTACTTTCCTATATTCTTTACTATTTAAAAGTAATTTTTTTTAGTAATTCCTTCTCATTCATAAATATTTTTTTTATCTTTTACCATTTGGAAGTAATATTTGATGTATATGAGATTACATAATTTATCCTCCTCATTTGGAATTATATAACAAAAAGATTTATCACCAAATTTGACAAGGAACAAAAAGGAACAATATATATATATATATATATATATATATATATATATATATATATATATATATATATATCTTTCCTTTTTGAACATATTTCTTTCAAATTCTGTGATTATTTTTTCTTTTCTTCCACATAAACCATTTTGTTAAATCAATAAATATCACATTTTTAAAAACAAAGTAACAAAGGTTTTATTCCTTATAATTTGTTCTATTTCATTTCTCTTCATTCTTTCTTCTCTTCATTCCTATTACTTTACAAGTAGTCACGAATAAGAGTTTTTGTTAATAATTAACAATTCAAATCACAAATTCTAGTAACTATAATACATGTTAGTCAAAAACTCAAAATGCAATTCAATTATTTATAGATTTGACTAGTTAGTCAAAATTCCAGTTATTAGTTGGAAGAGCTATTTGCTACCACAACTAATGCAACATATACTAGAACTATTGAATTCACAGCTATTTCAAAACACATCTCTTACTAATAAAAGGGACTCATTGAAGCCTCTCAATGTGTCCACATCAGCTATTCTTGAAACACTCTATCTAATGGACACGTCAGCAGCTACAAAAACGGCCGCCCAACCGAATCACAAAACTACATTTCATATTAAAAAAGATAAGGAAGCCCAACGTAATAAAGCCCATACGGCGTACGCTCAACACTTGACATGAAGACTTAATATTGTAATTTTTAAATTACCCAATATTATATATAACTAGGATTAAAACCCGCGCTCCGCTGCGGGATATTTTCTAGTCAAATTGCAATTGCAGCTCTCAGAGAAACAAAAGCATTTCCAGCCGATTCAAACATTTTGATCTCAGAAGCATAACGATCCGAAAATCAAGTGGATGTTTTCTACTCCAAAATCAAAAGAACAAAAGAGTAACAGTCTCAACTCAAACGTCAAAAACAAACTGGTTGGAAAAACTTACTTGAGCCAACTGCTTTCATATTTTTAAGTATACTGTGTATTCGATTACATCACTGTACTAAATTATAAACCAAGTAGAAAATATCATCATTGACTTATCCTATAATATCAGTGATTATCTCTTTATCGTCAACATATATAATTCCACTTTTTCATGGCTGAATTTATAAATAATATTGAGAGCCGTAGACATTCACCGTTTGGTCCGAACTTACAACCCCTCTCATACTTCGGAAGCTCAAACCCAGACTGGTCAAGAACATTAGCCATACTAACTCTTCTCAATTCAATCAGCAAGACAAGACTCTCCTTCGTATGGCTTTCCAAACCTCTCTCTCTCTACATGCTACGGCGAGAGAGAAACAGACGAAATCAAAATCAAGCTTTCAATACAACAAATGCTTTAGTTAAAATGATTGACAAGGCCATTAAGGACCGTATTACTTCACTACACTTGCCAACAACATCAAAGCTTGGAGGCTCGTTGGACGGAGTTAATTACGACGTAGCTAAGAGTGGTTACTGTGAGGCTCTATCTTCAACTTTATAAAGTTTTGTCTCTGCTTTTAAAATCTTTGTACAACACAAGTCCTTATAAATAAATTTTACTTACAAACAAACAAAAAAAAAATATTGAGATGCATCTTATAGAGTAAGAATGCACAACATTAATTAACCGTATGATTTAGCTGAGTGCACTAAATATAGTAGGTATATATACACCTGATCCCTAAAAATGAAGAAAAATTATTGTACAGTTTAAAGGTTGTTGAAGACATAAGAGAGGCAATAACAACGTACTTGTGCTTGCTAAGAGAGACCATATAACTTATAAGATTGGAATGTGTCAAACATTTAGTAGCCTTCCTTCGTTTAAATATTTCTTCCCATTCTCCTCATGTTACCAAATCTCTTCAGTCCCAAACCACCCTAAACAAAACAACAAAATCAAGTCTTTCATCATATCTTCAATAAAATAATACCCCAGCATATCTTCAAGTGTTTCAACCGACAGAAGCACTATCTATTTTCCTTTAAATTGTTCATCTCTCTACAATAAAAACATGAATCTTCCTCTCGACACACATTCCAAATTAACCATATGCTAATTATATTACAACTTAACTAAGAAGTTTAACAACTAATTCATAGTCTGACCTAAAAAAAATAACCAGAGAATAAAGAGGATCCGAGATTTACTAATTGTGGATGTGTGAGTAATAATCAGAGGATCACAACGTTCAATCACTTCCTTTCCAAGCTCTTTCATTATAGTTAGAACTTAGAACAGAGCTAACAAGCAACACCATATCATCCGTCACAGCCAAAACAGTCTTCTGATTCACCATCGAGTCCTACAAAACAAAAACCCAAACATTAAAAGACAATCACAAAAACCTCGGTATGACAATTTTACATAACACCTCCGAATCTCAAGACTGATTTTAAAATCCCACATCAACACTAATACAACAACAAACTACAAACAGAAGCTTCATATTTCAACAATTAACCCTATTCTAATAAGATATAAACAAGTTTTGACAAACTTTAAAATCACTAAAGTGGAAATCGAAGAACCCTAACCAGTAAAATTAAGGAATCGAGAAATGAACAAATAAATCGATAACTCCCACTTGAATCTGATCGGAGACAAGAGATTCGACTTCATAGAGAACATTTAGGGTTTCGGCGTGGGTCATCTTTTCCGATTTCTCTTTCGGAAGGAATGGCTGAATGCCTGAATCTCAAACGCAGCAGAGCATAGACCAATTTTGTCTTTGTTTTCTGTCTAGAAAAAAATATAAAATATTAAAAAAGAACACGTTGGCAATGTTTGAGCTGAGCTGTATTATTTAAAATGTTCTGATTGGGTGTTGATTTTACTGAGGTGTCACCTTCAGAACACTCCAAAAAGCTGAGGTGTCAGCCCTGGAGAGACTTTTGTTGTTTTTATTGTATTGACTAGGTTTAAAACCCGCGCTATGCCGCGGGATATATTTCTTAAATTGTGTTTGATTATAATTCAAACTAAAACGTTTTACTTAAAATGAAAAAAAAGATGTTTGGAGAAAATTATTTAGCTTATGTTCTTGATCACTAAAGAGTCACGAGCTTTCTAGAAGTGGAATATGTGTTTGGAAGGACCCAATTGTCAACTACTTTCCTCCAAAACCCTTCAAGAATCAAATGTATTCCACATATGTTGCTTTCTCCGAGAATCACCGCCTTTCTTGTTACACCTTGCAACAACATTGGTAACACGTTGCTTAAGCTTTGAGTTCTCTTCTTTCCTTTGCCTTTTTTTTTTTTCAGTTCTTCAATTAGAATATCAAAATTCGCCATGTCAAATCTGAATGAAGTTAAATACTTGTATCAATACTTTTTACCTTTTTAGTCTCAGAAAGTCATAAGACTCATAACCAAAGATAAGATACCAAAAGAGAATCATATTCTCCAACAAAACTTAACGACTATTATAACACAATTACAGCAAGATCACTGAAAAAAGGCAAAATCTTTGGGAGGACCAAAAAATTTCATACATCATGTGTTTGTAGATTGAATAGGTTGTACGTGTTGGTGGATATAGATTCTTTCTTCAAGAGATGAAACAAACTATTTCCAGAATTCCACTTCATGTGGTCGACTTGTCTTGAGGCATTGACTGGAATACCTAACATTGTGTATCAAAATTGCTACTTCAAATGCAAGCAACGGTAGGATGACAATCTTTAAGTCAACAACTGCAAACAGAGGAGCACAACCAAAGCTATAATAAACCCACCAATCATATGTCTTGATTAATGAGTAGAATTTATGGATAATTATCATATGTATCTTCAAGATGTACACAGAGAAGGATCTCAAAGGCAACAAGCGGCAGAGAAAAAGGATGAAATAGTGAGAAAAAATTCCAACTATTGGAATATACCGTAGTCATGAACCCTCAAAGAACCTCAATTGTAACATACCATGGCAATGTTTAACCAAATCGCATCATATCTAACTTAACCCAAAATGTAGTAGTAATCTTTAAAGATGATCTAAAGGGAGAATTTGTGTATATTTTACCTTCAATTTAGTATAATCCCTGCAGCTTTCTTGTTCTTAGGATCCACCTCTACGCTTGCTTCTGCAGAGAGAGAGAAACCGTTAAATAAAACAGACTTCACAAAAAAGAGAAGAGAATGAATATAAAATCTTCGTAACATACCAACAACACTTTTTAGTATTTTTATCCTTTAAAATCTCCTTGGAGTTTTGTATCTTGTATATTAACTGATTAGATGCATTAAAATGAGAACTTGTTATTAATCTCTTATAATAACAGATTGGAACAAAATAATATTTTCTTATAGAGGCTGTTCTTTTGATGGATCCTCTTCGGATTCCCATAGTAACTCCAACGTTGTTTCCCACAATCATTAGAGCACCCTCGGTATAGAACTATGCAATTTGTTCTTTAGGCGAGTCACTGAGATAAATACACAAAAAAATAAACTTGTGATTATGATTCTATTTCAAAACAGAAGACAAGAAATAAGATATATGAGAAATTTTGATCTTCAACATTTACTGTAGAATTAATCGGTATTATGCAAAATCAAGCAAGCCTGAGAGAAGATCAAGTTTGAAAGACATAGCTTATATCAAAAATCCATCTCAATTTCACAGTAACAGAGCCAAAACAAAAGTCTAGACATCTTCCTCAATCACCAAAATTAAACCTCAGAACTCATAAAAGAACAAAATTTCATTACCTACCAACTCAAAGTAGTTGAATCATGCTTAGACCACAACAGATCAAGCAGCGACCTCGTCAGGACGCTGTCCGATCGTCGAAACCAAGTTGTCGAGAAAGAGATTTTTAATTCTCTTACGGGAAATTTCTATCAACCGAATTATAAATTATCTTAGTATAAAGATGCGCAGGAGAGAAAACAAGTTCGAGCTGACCTGAAATCGAGTAACTCATCTTCGTCTCCGCCTTCGTTACTTAGTGAAGAATCGTAATCGAGGAAAAAAATGAAAATGAGGGTGAGAGGACAATTGGTTTTATTGTATTGATACTAAGCCCACTTATGAATATGAAAAGCCCAGTTCTAAAAAGAATAAGTCCAAGATGGTAATATGAGAAGAATGATGTGGAAAATGAAAATATTCTTATTGGACGAAAATGCTGAGCTGTATTAATTGTTATAATTCGATTGGATAAATTTTTTAATGATGTGTCATGCTGAGAAGAGTCCAAAATGCTGATGTGTCAGGCCTGGAGAGATCCTTAGTGGTTTTATTGTATTGATTAACCCATCTAAAACCTAAATTCAATAACGAAAAAGAAAGAAAAGACCCTTCGTCGTCACCATCCTCTAAAACTGTATCGCTTCAGCTTCCAAAAAAAAAACGAAAAAAGCCATTGTTATCAATTCTCCACTTCATATCTTCACTCTCCCATACATTCACACCAAATGAAATTAATGGCCACTACCTTCATTCACATCGATTCAAGTTTCACAGTTCACTATAAAACCACAGATCACCCATCACACAGAGAAATAAAAAAACTCCTAACAGTCACTACGATAAAAACATGGCACCAAATAAAGCTCAACAGTCTCCCCAGCCATTCACCTTTCAGATTTTTGATGATATTGATGGAGGTTTCTGTGAGGAACTGATGAGAAAGAAGTCTTAGTTCGACTAATTCATTATTGGGAAGCCGAGAATTTGAAGAAAGGCGACATATTGATGGGTCTTCAAGGAAATCTACAATGACCTTCCAAAAGATAATGGTAAACTACTCACCCTAACTTCCAAACAAAGTATATGCACTTACTTTCTTTTAAAAATGGTTTAAGTAGTAATTCAATGGAGTTATACAGTGCTGCTATAGCATCAAATCATCCCATGGTATGTAATTCCAAATAGATAAATTGGGGTGAAGGAGAAAGTAGTTCCGGGGATGCGGTGTTTCGATAGAGCCAAGATATATGTTAGATCCAGAGATGGATGGAACGGTGTGGTGGCGTTTAGGAGAGAAAAGTTTGTTCCTTTTGGAGGACCTTCAAGTGGAAATGGAGGAAGAGGTGGGAATGTGTATGTAGAGATTGATGGGTCTATGAATTCGTTATTGCCGTTTTGTGAGACTGTGTATTTCAGGACGAGACATGTGGAACATGGGAGAGGGAAGATGCATAGTGGAGCTAAAGGTGATAATGTTTTCATGAAAGTGGCTCCTGGGACGGTGGTGAGGCAGGCTAGAGAGGTTGGGAGTGAGGTGGAGGGTGAGGAAGGGGAGGAGAAGGAGGTGCTTTTGGAGTTGCTGCATCCGGGACATAGGGCATTGTTGTTGCCTGGAGGGAGGGGTGGACGAGGGAATGCTTCGTTTAAGTTTAAGTCGGGGATGAATAAAGTTCCTCGGATTGCTGAAAATGGTGAAGAAGGTCCTGAAATGTAAAGTGTGTATTTTGCTTCATTTTGAGTTGGTTTTAGTTTAGTGAGTTGGTTACAAGCTTTGGTTTGGAAACAACGTGTAAAGTTTGAGACTTAAAGTTACTGGAAGTATTAGAGTTTCTGAAATGGATTCTGTTTCAGGACCATCATGGACTTTAAATTTTTGGCATATATAATATACTTTACATGGACCAAAAAATAGTTTAATTAGAGAATAATCACCATATACACAAAATGTAACAAATATGCTACCAATCCTGTAATGCCAAATAATGTTTTAAACTGTATACATTGCCAGAGAAAAAAAAAAAAAATTAACCACCAATTAAGTTACTAATACTACCCATCATCCCAAATAATCAACCAAACTAAACACTATAAATTCTATATGTATATATTTTTAGAAAAAAAACCTCAAATGCAATGAGTAAAAATAAATTAAAAAGTGTCAGAAATTCCAAAGTTTATTTACACTTATTAAAAGCTATTTCTATTACATTCCTTTTTATTTTGGTAATATTAGCGTAAACTATTTCAAGTTCATAAATTCTTGGGTTCACCCCTAGGGGTGAACCCAATTCATTCACCCCCTTTTTAATTACCAATCAAATTTTGACATGTCATCTAACTAAAACAATTAATATTATCTAAACAAAATAATTAAACTAAATCATTAAAAACTCAAAATTAAATTAAGTGTAGGCCCTACTACTCTCTCTCCCACGTCTCTCTCTTTTGTTTTTTTTTTGTTTTTTCAAATATTATTTTTTCTTCAACTTTAATAAAAAATATAAAAAAAATAATTTAGTTTCATCAGATTTAATCATTAAAAATTAATATAAAATTAATTGTGGGGCCACTAACTCTCTCATTCACGTAACACTCCTAAATCTAATAGGAAAAAAAAACTTAATAAGTCAATAAAAAACCCTAATTCTAAATGTTATATAAAGTCATTAACCCTAACCCTATTCATAAGTTTTTTCTATTCTTCTTCTCACATATCATCAAAAGAGATTAGTTTTATCAAAGGAAAGAGTTTCACGTTTCTACACAATTTAAACGTAAGTCAAAATAATTTTTATATTTACATCAAAGTTTCTTAGTTTAAAAATTATTCAATTGAAGATTTTCTATCTACTTGATTCATGTATTGAATATCATATAAGTAGGACGTTGTTTGTGTTTTGAAAGCATGTTAGTACGTGAATTATTCTTTTTGTTTGGTATGGTTTTATTTGTATTCTATTTTTTGTTAACTTAGTTTTCAATTGTCAATTTTTTTTTCTTGCACCACATAAAGAATTGTTCTTCTTCCTCATATTTTTTTTTTGTCGTAAGATCGTACCGTGCTATTTTTTTTGTTTTATTGGCAAGATTTATACAACATAATAGAAATATATATATACATATATATTAATATATTGATTAGTGCAGATTGCAATGGAAAGTAGTGATGAGGAAAAATATGATTCAGTAAGTGAAGACGAAGCTTCAGTAAGTGAATTCGAAGAAGAAAAAGATGATATAGTCAACAAAGAGAACTACGTTAAAACTGAAGAGAAGAAAGATGAACTGTGTATTGGAATGGAGTTTAGTTCTGATGAAACTGCACATAAAGCTTATAAAAGGTTTGCAGGTGAACATGGTTTCAATGTAAGGAAACAACGGAGAAAGAAAAAAAATGATAAAGTAGTAAGGCTTCTCTATGTTTGCTCAAAAGAAGGGTTTAGGAAGGAACCTAAGATCAAGACATGTTATTCACAGCCAATTACACGGTGTGGTTGTAAAGCTCATATGACTTGCTACCTTCAGAGGACGGGAAGATATAAGATTGTGTCTTTCAACCAGAATCATAACCATGATTTAGTGAAGACGCCTATGAAGCATTTGCTGAAGGGAAACCGGATGTTCTCTGTTGCTCAAATACAACATGCTGACGATGCCGAGATGTCAGGAATTTCAGCAAAATCAACTGTTGAAATGATGAGTAGAGAAGTTGGAGGGCGAGAAAATCTGGGGTTTTTGGAAAAAGACTATCGTAATTACATATATCGAAAGCGAATGGAAAAAATGGTAAAAGGAGATGCTGGAGCAGTTTTGGAATACTTTCAAAAAAAGAAAGAGGATAATTCATCTTTTTTTTATTCAATGCAACTTGATGAGGACGATATGATCACGAATATCTTCTGGGCAGATGATCGGTCTATAAGTGATTATAATCTTTTTGGAGATGTCGTTTGCTTTGACACAACTTACAAGACCAATGAATATGATAGACCATTTGCTCCATTTATCGGGGTCAATAATCATAAGCAAACTGTAGTGTTTGGTGCTGCTCTCTTATATGATGAAACCACTGAGTCATATAAGTGGCTTTTCGAGACTTTTCTTGGAGCAATGTCTGGAAAACAACCAAAAACTATTCTTACTGACCAATCTGCAGCAATGGCGAATGCAATAGTGAAGGTATTTCCTGAAACAAAACATAGGTTATGTGTTTGGCATATTTACCAAAATGCTGCAAAAAAATTGAGTCATGTATTTCACGGGCCAGGACAGTTTGCCACAGACTTTGGAAACTGTGTATATGACCATGAGGAAGAAGAAGACTGGTTATTGGCATGGAGTAATATGCTCAATAAGCATAATTTGTCAGAGAATAAATGGTTAAAGAATATGTTTGAGGTGAGAGAAAAATGGGCAATGGTATATGGACGTCATACTTTTACAGCAGATATGGTGAGCACACAACGTAGTGAAAGTATGAATAATATTTTGAAAAGATACTTGAAGAGTAGTTATGACTTGTTGTCCTTCTTTGAACACTATGAGAGAGTGTTGGATGATCGGCGATATAACGAGTTAAATGCTGACTTCAAAATGATGCATACCTCTTCGGTATTATCTGCTTCCGTAGAGATGTTGCAACATGCAGAGGAGGTGTATACACCCGAAGTTTTTAAGTTGTTTCAGGATCAATATACAGTTATCGGTGATTATGTTGCTAAAAAAGTCAGTAAGTCTGAGATGGTGTATGAATACAAAGTATCTTATCGTGGTGGACCGCGAGAGCATTTGGTTAATTATGATGCTACAAACCAAACGATACAGTGTAGTTGCATGAAGTATTCTTTTGCTGGGATCTTATGTCGTCATGCATTGAAAGTATTGGATAAGAAGGATGTTAGGAGAATTCCATCTAGCTACATCTTGAATCGATGGAGTAAAGAAGCAAAATCACGAAACATATCTTCTTATCGTTCAGAGACATTTAATGGAACAGTAACGCAATCGATTGGAAAGCGTTATAGCCATTTATGTCACAATTTCCGTGAGATTGCATCTGTTGCTGCTGAACATGTAGAATTGACGATGTGTGCGAATGAAGCTGCATGTGAATTGCTTAAAAAATTGGAGGAAAAGAAAAAAGAACTTGTGAAGGCTAATGCATGGATGCTCCCAACTTCAAATGTTGAACATGTGGAAAGAGAAGAAGAAGACGAGGAAGTTCTAAATGCACGTGGAATTAAAAGAAAAGCTACTGTTGGACGACCAAAGAACAAAAAGGTCGGACCCCACGGTCGATATTTGAATGCTCTTGAAACGAAAAAACGGGGTACATCAAAGAGAAAATTATCGTTTCAGGTATTTGATAAATAATTCTTCTTTTTTCGTTTATCTCCAATTTCCAGCAATACATATATATATATTAATTACAAGATAAAATTGATAAACGTTTCAGGATTCAACTTTTGCTACCAGCAATCCGACATTACAGACAGAGCCATTTTCCTCACAAGTACTACAAGTAAACTATTCATTCTTACTATTTATATTTGACTTTTCGGTGACTTCGTCAATAGATGTATGTATATTAATTACAAGAAAAAATCGATAAATGCTTCAGGATTCAACTTTTGCTTCCGATATCCACTTATCTGTAGCTACAAGCAGTCCGAGTTTACAGACGGGGTCTTTTTCTTCACAAGTGTTTCAGGTAGATAATTTACTCTTACTATTTATATTTGACTTTTCGATCAAATTTTTCATGATTTGAAATCTTATATTTTGTAGGAATTCGACAAAAGTTACGGAGATTTATTGTAAAGCTCGATCATTTTGAATACAAAGACAAAAAACATATTGAAATGCTAAAGCTTTACTATTAATTATTTTGGTTAAATTATTTTTTTACATTTTTTATTAAAGTTGAAGAAAAACAATATTTGAAAAAAAGAAAAAAAAAACAAAAGAAAGAGACGTGGGAGAGAGAGAGTAGTAGGTGATTTAGTTTAATTATTTTGAGTTTAATTTTGAGTTTTTAATGATTTAGTTTAATTATTTTGTTTAGATAATATTAATTGTTTTAGTTAGATGACATGTCAAATTTTGATTGGTGATTAAAAAGGGGGTGAATGAATAGGGTTCACCCCTAGGGGTGAACCCAAGAATTGTTCTTTTTTTTCCATATAGGTTGTATTTTAAAACATAAATTTATATTTATGTATAGAAAATTCCCAAAAAAAAAAAACTTAAAAAGATTTTTTAAAGATTATTAAAATTTACAAATATACCGGGCGTAACCCGGATTTTTCCTCTAGTGATTATAAAATGCTATGATCCCACAACAACATATTGTATATGCTTTGTTTTCCCCGGTGTTGTAGCTGCACTCTTTGGTTTACCCAAGCTAACTTGTACCGTAACACTTTTTTTATCTTCCTAGCTCTCATTCTTTTCTTCCTTTATTTCAACAATCTCTCCATCTCCTGGAATATCCACTAGAACATAAAAGCCCGATGATTTATTATCGGTCTTAAAACGAAATTCGGTTTAAAATGTAAGGTAAGGTAATGCATATATCCTATAGTTTATAAAATTTGAAAGAAAAATAAAGGCTTGAGTCCGATCAAACGACTAAATTGACCAAGAAGGTGTAACGACATTTATATGAAAAAATCTCTTTTTTTTTTTTTTTTTTCATCAAACACCATTTATATTAAGTTATCGGAAAGATAGACTCTCCGCTGGGGAGAGCCATTCAGGAACCGAGTTGCTTACATGGGAAAAGAGACTCTTCCGAGCCCGAGCTTTTTTCGCTAAACAGTCAGCTCGAGTATTAAAACTACGAGGAAGAAAACGAATACTAAAAGAAGGAAAAAAACAACGAAGAGACCGGAAAGAGGCCAATTCTGCTTCAAAAGTAGGCCAATCTTCTTGATTATCGAGAAGTGATATCATGTCCGAGCAATCTGTTGCGAAGGCGCCAGAGGTGACTCCTAGCGAGATCAAACATTCCATTGCCCACAACAAAGAATCCACTTCCGCATGGAGCGGTGAAAGACTTCTTCTCGAACTCTGGAGACCGAGATGAAGGATCCGATCTTGATCAACTAATACCCATCCATGTCCGCTTAAAGTATCCTCTAAGTGCCATGAGGCATCCACCTGACATTCCGATGTCTGAGGATGAGGGGAGAGGTTCAGAAGCGTGCGATCAAGAGCCTCGGTATTTGACATACCATTCAAAAAGGCTTGTTTCCAGACCGATGCTTCTTTTAAGGCCAAATTTAGAATCTCGAGGGGAGGCTCCCTAATGTTTTCGAATACAAATCTATTACGGCTTTTCCATATATACCAAAGTATCCATGGAAAGAGTTCTAGCACATCCTCTTCAATTCCAAATTCCCGGCCTCGCCAAAAGAGGAAGTCAAAGTTATAGAAAAGGGAATTTCGAGGGAAAAGATGTCCCGCAGAGGGAATAGGGGATAAAGCCCAAACCTGCCTAGAGGGCGGGCATTCAAAAAGTAGATGATTAATAGATTCTTCTTCACCGCCACATCGAGGACAAACTTTGTCTGTACCAATATGACGGTTTACAAGTCTTTGGGATGTGGCTAGACATCCCGAGATACATTGCCACGCGAAATGCATAAGCTTCCGCGTAGTTTTAAGCTTCCATACTTGTGCCTGTAGTGTCGAAACACCCGGTCCCTGAAAAGGGAGGTCACAAGTAGGACGAGATAAAACTCTCGCGGCCCAATAACCGGATTTTACAGTATAATTCCCAGATTTAGTATGGTTCCAACTAAAGCCATCACTAAGGTATGTGCGACTTGGTCGAATCCCTAAGATAAGAGGGATATCCGCAGGGTCGATCAATGCTTGAAGACGGTCAAGTTTCCACATCTTTGTGGTTTGATCAATGAGGTCATTAACATATAGATGAGGATCTCGTATGTTAAGAATACTTTTGGCGGGTCTCGCAGGGATAGTAGGGAATAATCACCATATACACAAAATGTAACAAATATGCTACCAATCCTGTAATGCCAAATAATGTTTTAAACTGTATACATTGCCAGAGAAAAAAAAAAAAAATTAACCACCAATTAAGTTACTAATACTACCCATCATCCCAAATAATCAACCAAACTAAACACTATAAATTCTATATGTATATATTTTTAGAAAAAAAACCTCAAATGCAATGAGTAAAAATAAATTAAAAAGTGTCAGAAATTCCAAAGTTTATTTACACTTATTAAAAGCTATTTCTATTACATTCCTTTTTATTTTGGTAATATTAGCGTAAACTATTTCAAGTTCATATTTTTTTTCCATATAGGTTGTATTTTAAAACATAAATTTATATTTATGTATAGAAAATTCCCAAAAAAAAAAAACTTAAAAAGATTTTTTAAAGATTATTAAAATTTACAAATATACCGGGCGTAGCCCGGATTTTTCCTCTAGTGATTATAAAATGCTATGATCCCACAACAACATATTGTATATGCTTTGTTTTCCCCGGTGTTGTAGCTGCACTCTTTGGTTTACCCAAGCTAACTTGTACCGTAACACTTTTTTTATCTTCCTAGCTCTCATTCTTTTCTTCCTTTATTTCAACAATCTCTCCATCTCCTGGAATATCCACTAGAACATAAAAGCCCGATGATTTATTATCGGTCTTAAAACGAAATTCGGTTTAAAATGTAAGGTAAGGTAATGCATATATCCTATAGTTTATAAAATTTGAAAGAAAAATAAAGGCTTGAGTCCGATCAAACGACTAAATTGACCAAGAAGGTGTAACGACATTTATATGAAAAAATCTCTTTTATTAACTTTTCAAAACACAATTTAAATAAAATTCACTCGCATCGAATTTTGATACGGTAATTTAAAAAGTCAACTACACTAAATATTCCAAAGTGAAAATTAACACAAAAAAAGCCCACGTGACTCTTTTTTCTGCAAGAGCCGTCTCTTTCCTCTTCTCTTCTTCCAAATTTCCCAAATCCCTCCACATAAACCCTAGAAAATCAACTCTCTCTGTTCACTAATTCCTTTCGATTTTAGATCATTAGCCCCAAAAAGCTTCCATTTTTCTAATCCCACGGTTCTCTTTCTTCTGCTCTGAACCGTCGCTTAACCTATTGCTCCGTCTTTTCACTTCTCCGCCATGGCTACCCAACAACAGCAATCCGCCATTAAAGTAAGCTCTGAAGGTGCCCTTAAGCTTATTCTTTTTGGGAGTTTTTTAAAATTGAAGTCTTTTGAATTCTCCTGTGTTGTGTTTTAGGGCGCGAAAGTGCTTATGGTTGGAGCTGGTGGGATTGGTTGCGAGTTACTGAAGACTCTTGCTCTTTCTGGATTCGAAGACATTCATATTGTAAGTTTTTTCCTTTTTTCTGTTTTCGTGACTTTTAGTATTCTTAACTTGTGATTTCTTCTTCTTCTTCTCTTTTGAGATTCTGGGTCACAGACGAAAGTTCAATCATTTCAAATCTCCTATTGTGCTACTGGATTTGATTTGAGATTTTAGGGTTATTGATGATTTGAGTAATTTCTACATCTTTGAGCTTTTTGATTTGCATGGTTCATGAGATCACATCGGGATTCTACTGAATACTCTCTATGGGTTAAGTTTGACTTGGGAGATGGAATCATATGTCTCTAGGAGGACTCTCTGTTTAGCTGTATTCGCCAATAGGTTTAGTGTCATTTCTAAGACTCTGGTTAGGCAATGTATAGTTTGGTTTGCATGAACTACTGCTGTTTAAATTTTGGGATTTTGTAGATTCATGATTAACGTTTTGTATCAGAAACCATTGGATTTTACTTGTGGTCCTTCTGGATTTCTGGATTTGGAAAATGGATAGAGCAGTGGCTTATAAGATTAGTTTGTAACCGTGATTAAGTAACTGATTCTCTTGTGTTGCAGATTGACATGGACACTATTGAAGTCAGTAACCTGAATAGGCAATTTCTATTCCGTCGTTCTCATGTTGGGCAGTCCAAGGCTAAGGTAATTTTCCTTGAGCTAAGTCCAAGGGAATCCAGTTCATAAGAGTTAATATAGTTTTACCATATCACCAGGTTGCCAGAGATGCAGTCTTGAGATTTAGGCCTCACATTAATATAAGATCATACCATGCAAATGTGAAGAATCCCGAGTTTGATGTTGATTTTTTCAAGCAATTTGATGTTGTTCTGAATGGGCTGGACAACTTGGACGCAAGGCGTCATGTGAATCGCCTTTGTCTTGCAGCTGATGTTCCTCTTGTAGAAAGTGGGACAACGGGCTTCCTAGGACAGGTTATTCTGCTTGTCTTTTGATTTTGCAGCTCTTCTTTCTCTTATCATTATTCTATGAGTTAGATGCACTACAATGTTAGGCTTGAATGGTGTAACTGTTGTCATTTCTCTCGTATCTGACTTTGCAATACTTGCTTGCGTGTACAAATCAGGTAACTGTGCATATAAAGGGAAAAACAGAATGTTATGAGTGCCAAACCAAACCTGCTCCAAAGACCTATCCTGTGTGTACAATAACCAGCACTCCAACTAAGGTATTAACACTGTCTTGTTTGTTCCAAAATTTTGTGAATCCTGGGGAAATTATATTCTATCTTGGCTGATATAGTCTTATCCTAAGCATAGAGCTTGTTTTTGATGTGCCGATGAATTTTAAATTGATTCTGCAGTTTGTGCACTGTATCGTATGGGCAAAAGAGCTGCTCTTTGCAAAGTTGTTTGGCGATAAGAATCAAGATAATGATCTTAATGTGCGATCTAACAACTCTGCAAGCTCATCCAAAGAAACAGAAGATGTATTTGAACGTTCAGAAGATGAAGATATTGAGCAGTATGGTAGGAAGATATATGATCATGTGTTTGGTTCTAACATTGAAGCGGCTTTGTCCAATGAAGAGACATGGAAAAATCGCAGACGGCCAAGGCCTATATACAGTAAGGATGTCTTGCCTGAAAGTCTGACTCAACAAAATGGAAGCACTCAGAATTGTTCTGTTACTGATGGCGATTCGATGGTCTCTGTCATGCCGTTGCTTGGCCTGAAGAATCCACAGGAATTGTGGGGTCTAACGCAGAATTCTCTAGTGTTCATAGAAGCATTGAAGTTGTTCTTCGCCAAGAGAAAGAAGGTCTTTGTGGTCCTATGTGTAAACTCTTCTTGTCTATATTTATAAGTTTCGGTGTACTGATTAATTCATGGTTTTTTCTGTATGCTGCCGCAGGAAATAGGACACCTTACTTTTGACAAAGATGATCAGTTAGCTGTAGAGTTTGTTACTGCTGCTGCAAATATCCGTGCTGAGTCTTTCGGAATTCCTTTGCACAGCCTTTTTGAAGCGAAAGGTATTGCTGGAAACATTGTTCATGCTGTTGCTACGACCAACGCCATTATTGCCGGTTTGATTGTTATTGAAGCAATCAAAGTGCTGAAAAAGGATGTGGACAAGTTCAGGTTTGTTACTTTGAATCGTCTGTATTTCATTAGATTTTAGCATCCTTAATATCTATTTAAAAATCATTTTTGTTCGCAATGTCTCTCTAGAATGACATATTGCTTAGAACACCCAAGCAAAAAGCTGCTGCTTATGCCAATCGAGCCATATGAACCTAATCCTGCTTGCTATGTCTGTTCTAAGGTATAAACATTATTATTGTTTGGCCTTCTTTCATAATCTTTCTTGTATTACCAGTCATCTGATTTTCTTTTTGTTTTTTTTTTTTTATCATCAACAGACCCCTTTAGTACTTGAGATCAATACTCGGAAATCGAAACTACGGGATCTAGTTGATAAAATTGTCAAAGCCAAGCTTGGAATGAACCTACCGTTGATTATGCACGGGAATTCGCTTCTGTATGAAGTTGGCGATGATCTTGATGATATTATGGTTGCAAACTACAACGCTAATCTCGAGAAGGTTTGGTCTTGATTCTTCTACCATTTGCATTTAAAACACAGGTTTAGATATCGCAATTTCTCACATGCTCGTATTTCTTTATCAGTATTTATCAGAACTTCCTTCTCCCATTCTCAACGGAAGCATTCTCACAGTCGAAGATCTTCAACAAGAGCTATCTTGCAAGATAAATGTCAAGCACAGGTTTTTTTCAGAAATTTTGAATCCTGTTTTAAATTCAGTTTGGTTTCTGATAATATTACCATCGACTTTCCCTGAACTCTTCCATTTCATCAAATCACGAAATCAAGATGAGTTATCATCAGACAATATCCTAGGATTCTCAAATGGCCTAATAGTTATAGATAGTCTTTACATGTTTGAAAATGGTAGACGATTTACGCATCCTCTACTTATTCTGTTTCTGCCACAGGGAAGAATTTGACGAGGAAAAAGAACCTGAAGGAATGGTACTCTCTGGATGGACACAGTCTCCAGCTACCAATGGCGAGAGCGCATCAACATCAAACAATGAGAACCCCATTGATGTCACAGATAGTTCCTCAGGATCCGAGACTGCTTCTAAGAAGAGAAAACTCTCCGAGACCGAGCCCAGTAATCATAACAAAGAAACAGAGAACGTCGAGAGTGAAGATGATGATATCATGGAGGTTGAAAATCCCATGATAGTGAGCAAAAAGAAGATAAGAGTTGAATAGGCCTTTTTTGAAAGATCTGATCCCTAAATCCTTGCTTTTTTAGCTTCTTTTTTATTTCGATCTAACTTTCTACTTTCTGAATTTATGCTACAAGAATTACAAGTATGATTTAGGGATTCTTTGATGAAGAAGAAACTACTCAGATTGTTAAATATTTACTAGGACAGGATCCTTTGGATGAAGAGCTCAGGAACTCATTCTAAGGGAAGCAATCTTTGCTTTCCAGAGATTCTGTAATGTTTTCACTAACTGTAAGAGCTCCCTTGTATCTTTATTTCTAGTTATCAAATTTTCTGTTTTTTTTTTTGTTTTTAAGAATTCTCTGACTACTTTTTCGATTCAATAGACTAAAGAATCTGTCGATTATGAAAAGATTTGCATACACTTTATTTGAAAATTTGTCTTCTGAAACTAAAGTATCAACAACCTATAACATGCAATGTCCACCACCTTAGAATACATTTCCATTACAAAACAAAATAAAAAATACCATACAAATTATACAACAAATCCGATTACCTTAAGATTAGTTTCTTCTTTTTTTCTAACTCTTCACACCATTTGGTTTGGTGGAAATGCTTCATCAGTTTATCTTCCATTGAGGCTAGCAAACTGAGTAAACATGGTGGTTCCAGAGTGTTGGTCCACCGTTGAGTCATCCTTCTCTTCCGTCTGAGAAACCGGACGTTCACTTGCTGCAGCAGGTGAAGTCGGCGCAGCAGCAGGAGCAGCCACGGGCTTAGGGGTCTCAACCTCCTCAGCTTCAGCTTTACCCTGAGAAAAAGCCTCTTGAAGCTGAAGAGCATATTCTAAGTTCCACAATACATCTCCCATTGTTGGTCTATCAACACCATAATCTGCTAAACACTTCTCTGCAGCTTCTGCAAACTTTTTCATAGATTCAGGATTCACAGTGCCAACTAGATGAGGGTCGATGATCTTTTCAAGTAACCCTTTTTGTTTCCATAACATAGCCCATTCAGCTAAGTTAACCTGTTCCCTTGGAAGCTGAGGGTTAATGGCTGGTCTTGCACATAGAGCTTCTAGTAGAACAACACCAAACGAATAAACATCGGATTTGTCTGTAAGTTGTTGTCTCCTGAAGTATTCCGGATCTAAATACCCGAAACTACCTTTCACGGCTGTACTGACATGGTTTTGTCCAAAGGCAACGTCTTTAGAGAGACCAAAGTCTGCTACTTTAGCAACTAAAGCTTCATCAAGAAGAATATTTGTGGATTTGACGTCACGATGGATAATGCCTTGAGCTGTTCCTGTGTGTAAATAGTGTAGCCCACGAGCAGCTCCAATGCAGATCTCAAGTCTTTGTTTCCAAGTCAAAGGAGAAAGATTCTTTCCATAGAGATGGTCTCTGAAAGGACCATTGGACATGTATTCGTAAACGAGGATCATCTCTGAGTTCTCGTCGCAGTATCCAATCAATGAGACTAAGTGTCTATGTCTGAGCTTAGACAGCATTTGAATCTCTGTGTGAAACTCTGTTATCCCTTGCTCTGACTGTGGATTGCCTCGTTTGATGGCAACTTGAGTTCCATCATCAATGGTACCAATGTAAACGTTTCCAAATCCACCAACACCAATGATCTCTGATGCATCGAAGTTCTTTGTAACTTCTTGAAGCTCTGAGAGGGAGAAATAGCGTCCGAGGCCAAGCGCAGAATTGTACAAGTTGGATTTGTGTGAACCCGTTTTGCTTGTCATGAAAGTACTGTCACCGGCGTGTATTGGTAGTAACCAAGAAGAGAAACTGTTTCTCTTCTGCCAATCTTGTGGTCTCTTCTTCCATTTGTAAACCATTGCTCCAAGACCTACGAAAGCGCCAAACATCATTACAAATCCCGCGGTTGCAACCATCCCCTGCTTCCCCATACTCGCTCTTTTACCATCAACTCCAAATTCTCCATCAAGACTGTTCACAGAGTTGCTCATCTTTAGGACCTCAACTCCGTTCAAGATCGCGTTCTTTTTCCCCGTATCTTCTCCCATGGGACCAATCTGCACCTGAAGCTCAGATTTCATAAGAGTCGAGTTCACCACAATGTCTTTGTAGTAAGGAGCAGAAAGATCCCCAGCTACAGTGGACAAATCTAGCCCGGAAATGGCGGTCTTGCCATTGATGTAAACGTTGAAGTATAGGTCATTAAGGGACTTGCTGATGATGTCACAGAAATGAAGACGAATGAAGTAGTGAAATGATGGGTTTGATGGGAAGTTCCATGTGACATTGAAGTTAGGATCTATGGTTTGAGAATCAGCCATCTCTGCACCTGTTGCGTAAACCGTCTGTGGCGCAATCAGCGGTGTAACTCCAGGAGGATAGATGATAGCTGTAGGGTTTGTTTTGACATCCTTAGCCAGATTCTCATCTTTTAAGTATTCTTTGTCAGGTGTCCAGGTTCTTCCTAGTGTGTCATTCTGAGGCGTGATCAAGGGGCCACCAACATTAACCCTGTAAACGGACTGGTATGCGTAATCAGACAGACCCGAAAAACCGTTGACAGGGAAAAGAGAAGTGCCTGCATCAGAGATAAGTTCGTCTGGAGCTGACACAAGTTCGATACCGTTGATGAAAGCGGCAGAACCTTTCATAGGTTTGAACCTAAGGGCGAATTGTGCATCGGTCATGTTGACGAGGTACTCTTTCTGAACAGTAGCCAAGCTATCATTGTTGTTGTTACTTAGTTTAAAGTTATGAAGCAAGACGTACTTCTCTGTTAAAACAGAGAAAGTTGCTTGCTGGAGATCAAACTTGTCATTTGGGAAGGCAAAGAAATGGAGACGAACCCAATGCCAACCGGGACGGGTTAAATGGAACTTGTAAATGGCTTCCTCGCGGAAGATCCGAGCGGTTAGGTAAATAGGAGAAGGGAGTTTATCTGAAGGCGGGGCAGAGACTTGAATATCGTCTTTGGCTTCTATATACTGAACCGTTTCTGAGTCACTCTTAAAGACTCTACCTTCAGGGGTTTTGGTTGATGACTTGCTTCCACAATCAATGAGAATGTCATCAGCCGGTTTAAAGCCAGCGGTTGGGCCACCACCGATGGCAACCACTGACGCTAGGCCGGTTAAGAAGAGGAGGATGGTGAAGAGGAGAGGCATGAAGGGCCTGGAAGAAGAATTTAAGACAAGACACATAGGTATGTTTGGTTTATTTCTTATCTCCATCCCTCCTTCGTGAAGGAAGAGAGAGAGAAGAGAGAAGAGAGAAGAATGAGGAAGAAAATGAAAAGACCAAAAGAAACGAGATTGTTGGGATGCTTGTGGTTGAAGAAAGAGCGAGAGGGAAAAAAGGGCATGAAAGAGAGTTGTTATATGTGTGGCTACTATTCTTATTGTGTTTGGTTATATAATTAGTGAATGTTTTATTTTTAGTAAACTGTTTTTTTTTTTTTGAATTTAATGTTAAATTATATTCAAAAAGAAAATAACGTTTGTTACAGCTTAATGCAGACTGTTTTTAATAAACACATAGAGCAAAACTGAAAGAGTTATTCTTGAAAATTCCTTGTGGCAAACCAGACTTGTATGCCCGCTGCATATCTTGTGTCGCCTCCCGTTCGGATCGTACTCAAACGATTTCGGACGTTCTTGTCTATCATTTTTAGTAAACTGTTAAGTTAGCTTTATGAAAGTGATTCTCTATTTCAAGAAAAATGAAGAACGAGGAGTGGAAATCTAACTAGATCTAGCTTATTAATGTTTCGAAGTTCAAGAACATTGATTCCACATAGTGTATTTACTTCTTTATCAAAATACAATTCCTTCTTTATAAATAAAACAAGAACATGATCACACGATGGTCACATTCACAAACTGCAAGCAAACACATGAAACTGAAATTTAGTAAACTTCACTAGACGACATATATATATTGATTCACCATAAGCCCTAAAGAAATTCGTGCAAACGATTTATTCATGAAACGGAGACCTCATATGATTGGTATTCATGGGTGGTTGTGGTTGTGGTGGCCAGGAAGTTTGTCCTTGATCTTCTCGAGAATGCCCTTCTTCTCGTGGGGTTGGTCGGTGGTTGTGGATCCGATAGTAGTGGTGGCTGTGCTTGGCGTTTGTTCGTCCTTGTGCTTGCTGCTACTAAACTTTTCTTTGATTTTCTCCTTTATGCTCTTCTTCCGCCGCCCTCCTTGCCCATCATCCTCCTATTTCAAAATCATATATATCGTTAGACTATTAAAAGTTCGATCCAAATACATACATAAAGACGGTTTGTTAAAAAAGGGGCCTATCATAGGACTAGTTTAGGATTACTATTTTTTTGTAAGCTTGAGAACCCTTAAGTACTATTATTTTAGTTACTACTTTTATATAATTGTCAATATGAGTGCGAACATATTAACTACAATAACTTATCGTTTTTTATTTGAAGAAAACAAAAAAATAAATCAGAATCTATATATGCAAGAAAATCTCACCGAGCTAGAGCTAGATGAACTTCCGGACCGACGAAGATGCTCTTCAAGCGAGCCACGGTGTTGTTCCCCTGTGGCGGTTGCTCCGGTACCAGCAGTGACCCCTGTGGCAGTGGCAGCGGTGGTGGCAGCAGCCGCGGCCGGATGTATTCCTGCATCGACGGGATGTGTTCCTTCAACAGTGCTAGTAGGGTGCTCTGCAATGTCGCCGGTAGTACTCTCCTTATACTGAGTAGTGGAGGTGGCAACGCCGGTTAGGTGCATGGGGTTACCGAACTCATCAGTCAGTTGGACCGGGTTTCCGTGTTCATCGGTTAGATGGATTGGGTTTCCTCGTTCGTCCTTCAAATCCGCCATTCTTTTATTTCCTTTTTCGTTTCTGATGATCTGTTTTGTGTTTTAGATTTATTCTTTCAAATACTGCTTAGGAAACACTTGGTTTGAGGTTGATCAAGTATGCATATATATAAGACATGTTAATCTGCATGGAAATGAGACGTGGCGTATTTAATGTGAAATCTTTTGCCACGCACGTATAGAAAAGGAGTACCACGTATCATGTGTTTGGTTTGATAAAATATACGTCACGAATCCGACATAATAACGTTTTGCCTTTTTAATAGATTCGGTAGACCAACGTTATCTTCTACGGAAAAAAAAAAACGTTATCTTCTACGTACGGTGCTTTCTATGTTATATGGACACATGTGGATTTGATCACGGACGTAGAAGGTAGAACCGCTAAATAAGGTCGGTGTTCTGAGTTTTAAATTCTTGACGTATTCAAGACCAAACCTTACGAGCTGATTGGCAATTACAACTTTGCGTTGGTAACTAATTTGCCCAAAGCACTAAACAAACGAACTCTTATTTATAACTAAAATACCTTTTTTTCTCAACTGAAACATTTGTAAAGAAATACTTGTAGTAGAATAACATTCGGTTATATATAAAACGTATAATACGATTCCACATGAAAAAATACATATAATATAATTATCTCGATCTGATTATCCCAATTCACACCCTCTGGTGCACTGTCAGATCATTTTTACCTTATATTATTATAATTATATATTTACAAGTGTAATTGGGAATGCACAAAAACAAAAAATGGGAGACTAGTGAGAAAATTTTCTGTAATACACACACAAACGTGTGTACCGTTCGTTGATAGTAAACGTAACGTTGACTTCGGCCCTAGCTTACGAAGAGAAACAAGCACCCAGAATCTGAAAAAAAGATTCAACAATTATAAAGTGTGACTCGTTAATTTGAGTCCTGAGCTTCAGATTCACAAGTGATGCTTGGAGAGAGAGTGTGAGAGATGCTTACCGTTTCAAAGTTTGCTAGATTTGGTCCAAAAGAAGCCTTTCTTTCTGAGAGAGCTCGCGGAATGATTCTCTTTCGGGATTTTAACACTATTACTTCTGGACCCGAAAGAGAAGTGTCTCGCAAGGAAAGGTTTTGGGGAATAGCTTCTCAAGCTTGAACTCGATAGCAGCTTTGGGGCTTTGCCTTTGTATGCTGCTACTGTTGCTGCCGCTTTGTGGTTGTTATTAAACATGACAAAGTCATCGCTGTCCACAACACGGTTTCTTAGTCTCTTGCTGTGTCTAGCTTTCATTTCCAAATCTGCCTTTAATGCTTTTTCCGACAGTTTGAATGTTTTCTTCTCACCCAGTGTGCAGATGGGACAAGGAGGGTCGAATTTGTCGATTTCAGGTGTCATCTGCTCTAAACACTCTGAATGATAGACATGCCCACAAGCTAGAATTGCAGCTACAGAGAGCTCATTAGTGGCAAAGATCTTTTGGCTACTCAACAAAGATTTCTCAGACAAGGATCTCGAGCAAGCACCACAGTTTTGCTGATCATTGGACTTTCTATTTCCATGATTGTCTATCTTGTCACGACGAAGCCCAACGAACTCGTTATTGTAAGAGCAAGACTCTCTGCGAGAATATGCCATCATTTCAGAAAAGGCTTGCATGGACCAACCATCAGACTGAGATTCACTCCCCAGCCTCTCTTCAGTTGCTGAGCTTCTGCTCGGTGAGGTGAATCCAAAGATTTGACCATCTGAGACTTGCTTTGATAGACGAGGGGGCGGTGTCAGCTTCAACTGCGATGAACTTGCAGGTGGCATTGGCAAGTGGCTCTGGGTCGAGAGTGGTGACGCTGAGAAGGATGATGGTTGAGAAGCCAATGAAAGAGACAGTTTTACAGGAGATGGATAATAAGCAGGGTCGGTTGAATCATTTGTTTTCTGGGTGATCTAAAACAGTAAAATAGGGGTCATATATTAACAGAGATACATGGCGCATATATATAGCTAGCCGTGAAACAAAGCTTTTTAGTTTTTACCTGTTCAGAGACTGTGTCAATGGAAGCAATTCTTGAAAAAGATTGATCTGCCACAACAATAACGTGATATCACAACACGGAAAAGTCATAGTTTAACGATAAAAATGGATGGAGACCAATAAATGCAAGTCAAGAAGAAAACAAAAGAACACAGTTTATGTCAACAAACATATCAATGTCATTTTCACTCATTATCAGTTTCTGTAGAAAAGTAATCCTAAATTCTAAGCGGGTCAAAAGAAGGTGCCTACAGTTTTTGACAAATCAAACAGGTTTTTTGCCTGCAAGCAATAAAGGAATTTACCTGAAGAAGGAGATTTCTGCCATGACTGCGCCTGAAAATTGTCCAAAGGAGACCCTTGTGATGATACAAAAGCAGATTCGGATTTCACATCAGACACATCGTTACGACTAATTCCATCAGATAACCAACTGACAGAGGTCTCTTCACCTGCAACTCGTCCTCTATTATCCCATCGAAAGCTCCAATTAGGAGAATACCTCGCATTCACATTGTTTCTTTGCAAATTCTCGAGTGCCGATATATTAGACACCACCATTTTATCTCGAGCAGCAACACAACAAGCATTCCCCATAACTGAAGAGTATGACTGAAAACTACTAAGCACCACACAAAGACACTCCGGTTAGATGTTTTGGCCCATAAAACCACCTCAATTATGAGTATAAATCCTTGAATACAAGGTTTGGGATCAAATCAAGAGAGAATCAAATCAAGCAAAACGTTGCTCACTAACTTGTAGATAAGTGAAATTTCATGACTATCTTCACTAAGAAAAATCCAAATTTTTTCGCAAGACACCAAAAATAGCAATTGAATCGGGCAATATTTACACAGGTCACATAACTAACGTTAAACAGATCCGAGATTAGGGCCAAAGAACTTGTAAACCAAGTTGAGATTACCCAAAATAGAAACTTAAAAACCCTAAAAACAAAATCGAAAATAGTTAACAAGAATTAAGCATTTGAGACGAAAGTGATGATCACCGAACCTGCTCTCGGAAGTCGGAGAACGTCGCCGTGAAGTTAAAAAAAACGAAGACAGTTTTCACATAGAGAGAGAGAGAGAGTGCGGTGGTTTTTTAGAGTGAGAAAAAATGAGCACTGCGAGGTTTTTTGCTTTGTTCTCTCTCTTTCCTTAAGAAGGAAAGAGACGAATCCAAGTCTACTCTGACCGGTTTATATTTAACGCCGTTAGATTCCGATTGGTTTGTACCGGTTAAAGACCGATAAACCGTACCAAATTAATAATCGAGTGTACTACTTAATTCTAAAATTTGTTTTCTTCGCTGGAAATTTGAAAAAATTTCATCATAATTTTATTTGTATATTATTGTATTCAGTTTTTAGAAGTGAATAAATCCACTTTTTCAGCTCAGCAGGATTAGCAAAATGGACCGGTTTGATTAGTCTTTGGTTTAATAGGACCACGCATTACATTTTGACTTATTTGTTCTTTAGAGGTTAGTTTTAGCGGAATGAGTGACGTTAGGCGAACAAATGGCACGTCAATGTTATAACGACACAACGCGGAAATATGGAAAGTGAATAAAAACGCGATTCAAACACGCCCAAACACCAAATCACTAGTATCTCCTAACAATTTATTATTCATGAGATAACAATTATTAAAGAAAGTATTTTTTTCCTGTAACTGTTTTTGATCGGATAAAAGAAAGTAATTTGTAAATTTTGTTTTTGCTTCGGAGTTAGAAGATTTTAATGTTTTAAAACTTGGTTTCTCTCGTTTTTTTTTAGATTTTATTCCATGTTTAAACAATGTCCGTGCCGATTATCTTGCTAAGAAGGCAAGAGCACGAGATTCTATCTTTTCCCATGTAATCTCTTCAACACCGGATTGATTTTCTCCCGAAGAAAACCGTCCGTTTCTAGTTTAAATGGATAATTTTATTTTTCCGTAAAAAAAAAAAGGATAGTTTCCATCACTAGCTTCGAATGAAATCTGAATATGAACAATGTGGACAATTTGGAAACCGAAAAGGTTTTAATGAGAATGCACCTTATATGTATCAACTACTACACAAAATAAAAATAAAAATTATCATAGAAAACAATCTCTACAAAAAACTGGGGGAAAGTAAAAACAAAGGACAAATCCAGATTCAGCCAATAAAAGATTAAAAGAAACAGCATTTTCAATCCCGGTGATCGGAGTTTCAAGACGTCGCCTTTGAAGAACCTCCCGTGTCCACTTTCACGGCGGGTTCGCGACGCAAGCTGCTTCCTCTCGTGTACGGCTTCTTAGCACCCTTCAAAGAAAAAACGACGAGATTCACAAAGTTTTTGAACTACATGTTTCTTCAAAAATAATTATTTTGGCTCTCAAGATTTTAAATCTAAACCCAATAAATGTTTCTTTTATGTTAAGTTACGAACCCTTTTGTTTTTGCTCACCTGGAAGATCGTTCCAAGTTTCTTCAGTCCTATGGCACGAGCTCGAAGAACATCCTTGGAAACACTTGGATCTTTAAGCACCTGTGTGAGAGAGTCAAAATCAACAACAAAGATTGATTAATTGATTGTTACTACAAAAAATGGTTATATAATATGTATATGATGAATCTTAGTATCTTACAGATTGGCAAACACGAGATAGAGTTGATTCGATGTCGAGAACATTGATTTGCCAAAGAGATTGAAGCAAAGCATCCATTTTAGCTTCAATGGCTTTCTGAATATGCTCCTCTTTGTTCTCTCCTTGGTGTTCATTCAACTTGTTCACTTCATCCTGCAACTGAAGTAACGAAACCGCACCTACAGATCGAAAAACATTTATCCAAAGTAAGTAAGGATGTTCAGTTAGAAAACCAAGGATTTTGGTTTATTATATTGCTTTGTTTTATACCAGAAGCAGCCATCACTTGAGATTTCATATGGTGGCCTTTGTCACGCACCCATTCCGCTAAGAACGGCACTTTCATATACCGCTTGTCTTTACCGATTTCTTTAGCAGCTTTTCTTGTGTAAATGTAACCAATAGTATGCATCATTGCCTCGCCAAAACCTTAAACAGCAGAGCAAGATTATGGAAAAAATTTCAGTTTCTATACAGTTTGTGCCTTTCTTGGTTTATATGAAAAGACATTCATTTATGGGTAAAATGCCAAGGGGGGTTTACCGGCAGAAGAAAGCCGCTTTGCCTCTTCGTTTGCCCATTCGATAAATTCATTGGTTTGTCCTTCTACAAACGGTTCAAGTTTGTTTTTCAATGTAGCGGCGAGTTTGTCTTCCCTCTCCTTTTGTAGAGCCTGCACACAATCCCCACATAAGATACATGGAGAAATTAAACTTAACATCAACACGCATTAAATAGAAGGGTGTAAACAATGTACTTTGATCTTGTCTTGAAGCATTTGCTTTCTGATTTCAGGCTCATGTGATTCTAAGTCAGCTTCAATTGATGCCAAATAAGCAAGTGCAAGCTGCCCAACGTATTCTTCAAAGACTTCGCTTCCGAAAAGCATACCAAATACAGCTGCAGGATCAACCATTGCATCCCTGAAAAGAAAAACATATAACCAGCTTCAACCAATCACAAACCGAAACCATAGATGTAAACAGAGAGACCAAAACATACTGTTGGACCCCTTCTTTGCCATATTTGTCATAAGCTGCTCGCTTCTCTGGATTACTTAGAACCTGATAAGCCTCACCTAAAACCTTTACATGCATGAAAGCAACAAATGAGAGACATGATCAGCAATGTGTGGAAAACTTTGTGAAGATTCAAGTAAAACAAGAGACAAAGACCCTGGAAAACAAACAGTAACAATCTGAAAACACCTGAAAGTTCTTAGCAGCTTGAGGGTCTCCAGGGTTCTTGTCTGGATGAACTTTCCTTGCCTGAAGAGCAAGCAAACAAAAGATATTCACAATCAAAATTTCACATTATATCATATAAAAAACAAACTAAAAGAAGAAAAGGACTTTACTTTTAAGTAGTAGGCCTTTTTAATCTCAGCATCGGAAGCATCAGTTTTGACGCCTAAGATCTCGTAGTACTCATTCTCCTTCACCATACCTTTTTCTAAACAATGTGAAACAAAACACAAATCAAGACCAAGCTTGCAAATTTGATCCCAATATCAATGTATGCGGATATGTTTACGATTTATTTTCCCATTTTTTCTTGTGATCATCGAAAAGGGAGAAATATCGATGTCCAGATCTTATAAAAACCCAGAATTGGGGATTATAAAAAAAAAAAAACAAATTTTGAGTGGCGAGATCATGAATCTAGAGATAAGAAAACAGAGAGAAAAGGCAAATAAACTTACTGGTGGTGATCGTGAAGAAATGTAAATGGGGGCAACGAAAACTCGATTCTAGTTGGCGAAATGTGAAAGGTGTTTGTTTGGTCTTTTTACAAAGAAAACGACGAGAGAGTTTACGGTTTTGGTTTTTGACGAAGATAGATAGATAGAGAGATATTCTAAACGTGTGTCCGTGACGTATACATCTCTCTCTATAATTAATACACACGTGTCCGAGAATGTTCCGATTCAACCGTGTTCGAGGCAAAATAAAAATGTAGGACTTATCCATGGGTACTAATAAGTTCTGATAGAAAAAAAAATGCAAATTTTCTCGATTCGATCATTGTTTGGGTTGGTAACTTAGTAATTAGCAAACTTTTTTGCTTTGATATCTCTTAAAATATGTCAGCATTTATCAAGAATCTGCTTAGTGTAGCTCTTGACTGTTAATGAGATGCTAATGGTCAACAGTCTTTTTGTCTTCTATGATCAATTGTCATATTAGCTTAGCTTCTTCATTAGACTCAAAGAGTGTGTTGAATCATATAGTGTTCATGGATATGGTTTTCGAGAAGCAACCCTCGGAGCTTGCTGCATCTAGTGGTGGGTTTTATTTTACAGTCAACTTTTACTTTGATTCCTTAGCTTAAGATCATCAAGTTGTTAACTTTTTTGCACTCGAATGTGACAGCCATGGCTGGTGCAAAGGTTAGACCACGGTTGAGGAAGCACGTCCTAGTTTCAACACTCTCTAACGATGCCAAAGAGAAAAGCTTTCAACACAACCCGCATCAGAAAATTGTAGCAGTTTGTTTTCTTCACTCAACGAACTTGTATTAGTATTTAATATGCTTCTCTGAGAGTAGAAGATGGATGATTAAGGATGTGGAGTTTATTTTTCAGATTCTTCGCTTTCTGAGATCCGTGTTCCTGATAATGACATGATAAACCAATCTATTTGTGGAACTTTGTCTGAAGATGTAAAACGTGAAGCTTGATCTTTACGCCTTGTTTTTAGCGTATTCTTCCTCTGTGTGGTAAAACTAAAAATGTTTACTTTCAGAATGTACATGTGTTATCAGGGATTTCAAGTAATTCCTTGTGCATTGTACTAGTGGAGAAGGAATTACTGGAAATCCCTGATGACGAAATCCGATTATTGCCTATTAGAGACTTTCTCCGGCTTGTCGATTATAAAGAATGGTTAGAGGTAAAGAACTCTATTTTATCTTTTTAGATGATATTATTCTCTTTCGGTCTTTCCTCTTCTGCTCATTTTCATGTCATGCTACCACTATTCACTTAACTTGGTCTGCCAAGAATTTCGATATGAAGCAGATCTTTTGCTATGGCTATCGGCATGTGTACGTAGTCACTACGTACATATACACCTATATTGACTTGTGTATTTTTCCTTTGATTAATGTTTATATACTAGAAAAAGGAAGCAAAAAGAGGGAAAGGATCTCAGAGCCAAGAAAGGTAATGTATTCGTTTTCAACTTTTAATTCTTGTTTGTATATGCAAGTAAAGTGAGAGTCCCCCGATGTTTTAGATTGTTGCTAAAGTGTTTCACGCAGTACTTGCAAAGCCATTTCAGAAAATAATCATTTAAACGATGTGGTTCTTGCATGCGAAATGCGAGGAAATGGAGACAGCAAGTGATGCTCAAGTAGAAGCCGAGAACGGTCTAAGATCGGACGGTGGAGATGATGACGAATGTGATTATTGGGCTTCTTATAGGAGTGATATGTAGGATTTAGCAAAGACAAATTCTCATTTTCAACTTTTAGATCTAGAATGTATTTACTATTTTTTGTTCAACTAGATGCATTTTCTGGGTTACATTATTGTGTATTGAATAAAATATACTGTTGTTATGTTGAAAAATGATTAGAGCAATGATTGATTAAAAATTCTACTACCAAAACGAACGTACTAACCAATCATAACACAACTGATCATTGATCGACGGAGTCTAATCCGAAAGTCAATATTTTCTTGCTGTTCAGATTCAATTAATGAAACTTGTCTAATTTTTTTTGTTAAATTGAATAAATTCATTTTCTGTTGATTTCTATAAAATAAAAAGGAACAAATTCTCAGCGGCTCCTCAAGCTCCAAATTTAGTCTCAAATACTCCTCAATGGTAGAAAGACAAAATTACCCTTAATGAGGGTTGATTTCGGGTGATAAGGGTTAAATACAATTAAATCGGTAAGTGTTCAACGAAAAACACAATAGCTCAGTGGTTGCGAGCTCCATGCGCACGCGCGCGCCCCCAGGGTTCGAATCCTTTTATACGGGTTGTAACTGGTACAACTAGGGAATATTCGGGTACAACTAAGTTGTGGTACAACTAGGAGGTCTGGTACAACTAGGAGGTCTGGTACAACTAAGGTCTGGTACAACTAAGATCTGGTACAACTAGGAGGGTACAACTAGGAGGGTACAACTAGGATACCAGTTGTACCACGTATACCTAGTAAAGGGGTAGTTTCGTCCTTTCATTAAAAGGAGGAGAGTATGTGGATTAGAGGAGAGTATCTAGATTAATTCTTTGACTCTAAGGAGCAATTGAGATTAGTCTCCAAATAAAAATGGATATGTTTGTGAAAGTAAAACAATTAAAATAATAAATATTCAACCTACAAATGGGAAGGCCTAACGACCGTTGACCCTCCCTTTAATTGCTCCGTATTTATTTGATTTTCTTCTAATCTTGTAATCAATCCTCCGCTATCCGCCACGTGTTGTATGGGTCCCACGGTACGGGCAACGAGAAATTATACTTTGCTCCCTTATTTAATGAACAATTCATATTTTGCTGCCTAACATTTTCTAATCGTCAAAATAACCCATGCTAATATAAACAGCTCTATACATTTTTTAAAAAATTAAACCCGTTTTTGTATTTGAAAAATTAAATAAAAATCACAAAGGACAACTTATGATTTGATGACGGAGAACTTAAAAAAAAAAATTATTCGAATTTATCGTAGGCTTTACTTTATGTATCCTTTCTGAATTAATATTTTTAATATATAAACTTAACTCACTAATCATATTAAATTACCGAACACATTGATTGTTTTATCCATCTTAAGTTCTTAACCTTTAGGATTAATCAAAAGGAGTGAAATTTTCCGAAATAATATTTGCAAAATTGTTGAAAACCAAAAAAATTGACAATAGTTATAATTGATCCAAAACTAAGTGGGGTCATATTGTAAAGAATATTTCATTTTCCACCTCCTGTTTTTTGTCGTCTCTTTTTTCTTAAAAAAAACAAAAGAGCAATTTAATAGTGTTGTTTGTTGTTTTTGTTGGCAGAATTCTCTCAGTTGGATTTTTTAAAAAATTAAATTACTGGAATTTGTTTTTAAAATCTTATAGGTTTACTCCTTACCAAAAAAAAAAAAATCTTATAGGTTTACTAGTCTATTGTCCATAGATCCGTTAAAACTTTTTACCTACTACCATTAATGACCGTCTGATCTTCCTTTGTTGATGATGACTAGACCAACTATCCTGCATTTTCTCGGAATCTCCTTATTTAATTATTTCTAGCATGTCTAAATACACACCCCATCATTATGTTTTTTTTACATATATGAACAAAAACTAGTTTAGTGACAGAATTAACCGCAATTTCCTTAAAACTAATTCCTGTTTTCTATCAGATGTAATATCGGATTTTCGACTAAATTTATTGTGTGAAATATTCATAGTTTTCTTTTGTCAGATCATATTATCAAATCTAATCAATACAAGAATGATTAAGCAACATGAGCTTACCCGGAAAAAGAACACATTATACTATTTTATTTCATCTTGATAAAATAATTTGCAAAAACAATAGTATCATGTTCTAGGTGTAATTTAATTTCCACATTAAAATCCTGACACAAAAATACTGTACCACCGTCAATTTGGGGGGTAAATTGAAAGACAAAAAAGTGTGGGGCTCACAAATAAAAACGAATGTAACAGTTGGGGTCTCATTAAATAACGGTGCAAATACAAACTTCTATAACAAAAATATACTAATAAAAAATAATGAAGCATTTTAGGTGAGAAGAAACTGAGAAAGTCCCATTTAGTTCGGTCCGAATTCTAAACTCCCACTTTTGTCTCTCTCAATTTGTTTTCTTTCTCTCTCTTTAAAATCTTTTTTGTTGGCGATTTTTCTGGGTTTCTTGTAAATGTGAGAAGTAGATAGATTCTCAAGAAAAAAGGGTTTTTTTTTTTTTTTGATTCGTGGATCAGCCATCTTCTCGAAAGATTTGGGAAAGATCCAAGGAATCACAAGATTTTTCGATTTTTAGTCGAAAGGAATATAACATGTCAGGTCCACTTGATCGATTTGCAAGACCATGTAAGAGATCTCATCTTCTTTATTGTCTTAAATTCTTAAAGTTCTTCTCTGTAATCTTGTTGTTTCTGGGTAAGCTTTTTAGAATCTAGGGTTTACTGTAGCATAAACTTCGAAATGAAACAACTTTGAGGTCTAATTTAATAATGAGAATCGAAAAATTGTGTTTTTTTGCTTTCTCGTGTCTTCAATTTATGTTCTTGAGCTGAAATTTGGAGCTGGTTAAGTAATGGGAATTTAGATTCTTGAATATGGTTTCGTTGAGCTAAATGCATTAGTATATTATAAGTCTCATCAAATCCAAACAGCTTTCACTACAGGTTTTGAAGGATTCTTGAGCAGTGATGAGAAAAAGGAAAGAAAATCAGATTTTGAGAATTCTGAGGATGAGAGGAGAACAAGAATTGGTTCTTTAAAAAAGAAAGCCATTAATGCGTCTACTAAGTTCAAGCATTCTCTTAAGAAAAAGAGCGGAAGAAGAAAAAGTGACGGTCGAGTGAGTTCTGTCTCCATTGAGGATGTGCGGGATGTTGAGGAGCTACAGGCTGTTGACGCGTTTCGACAATCGTTGTTAATGGACGAGTTGCTTCCCGATAGACACGATGACTATCACATGATGTTGAGGTTCTTGAAAGCGAGGAAGTTTGATATTGAGAAAGCTAAGCAAATGTGGGCTGATATGATTCAATGGAGGAAGGAGTTTGGTACTGACACTATTATTCAGGTTTGCTATACTTTAAAACAGAAGATAGTGTTAACCCTTGTTGTTGATTATGTTTTGTAACGTTTTATTCGTCTGATAGGATTTTGATTTCGAAGAGATTAACGAAGTTTTGAAACATTACCCGCAATGTTATCACGGTGTTGACAAAGAAGGCAGACCTATTTACATTGAAAGGCTAGGGAAAGTTGATCCTAACAGACTCATGCAAGTTACAAGCATGGATCGATACGTAAGATATCATGTAAAGGAGTTCGAAAGGAGCTTTATGATAAAGTTTCCTTCCTGCACAATCGCTGCAAAGAGGCATATCGATTCGAGTACAACTATTCTTGATGTTCAGGGAGTGGTAAGTATTATTCTATAATACCTGATATTAGTTGTGAGATGAGTTGTTTCTCATGTATTTATGTAATATGATATTCAGGGATTGAAAAACTTTACCAAGTCTGCTCGCGATCTTATCACGCGATTACAAAAGATTGATGGAGACAATTATCCTGAGGTATTAGTTGATTGAAGCTTCTATTACTGTGAATGGGACGTCAGGTATTAAATGCTAATCTTGGCTTTGTGGTATTTCATGCAGACTCTCCACCAAATGTTTATTATCAATGCAGGGCCTGGATTTAGGCTACTCTGGAACACTGTGAAGAGCTTTCTAGACCCAAAAACATCTGCTAAGATTCATGTATGAGAGATCTAAGTTATCTGGTTATATCTCTATTTAAAAGACTTGTCTTTCAGTTATATAAAATTCAATCTGAGACTATTCTATTGTTATGTAGGTCCTTGGATACAAGTATCTGAGCAAATTGCTTGAAGTCATTGATGCCAAGTATGTGAACCTTGACCCTTGTTTGATCTGTTCTATCGAAAGCTGCACTCTTCTTTTGCTTATGTTGAAAATGGTGTGCACTTTTATACAGCGAGTTGCCTGAGTTCTTGGGAGGTGCATGTACTTGCGCAGATCAAGGCGGTTGCATGCTTTCTGACAAGGGACCTTGGAAAAACCCGGAAATTGTGAAGGTCATTTAATTGACTCATCTCTTTTTTCCTATATAGATCATCATACCAGGTTGGGATCTGAGACATTTGGTTTTGTTTCAGATGGTGCTTCATGGAGGAGCACATCGAGCGAGGCAGGTGGTGAAAGTGTTGAACAGTGAAGGGAAAGTCATTGCTTATGCAAAACCTTCATATCCATGGGTATGTAGTTATTAAATCCTATAACTAGTCAATCTTTTAACTTTTGGTTGACCATATTGTTGTGTCTATCTCTGGCTATGTCATAAACACAGATAAAGGGAAGTGACACTTCCACTGCAGAGTCAGGATCTGACGCCGAAGATATCGGGTCTCCAAAGGCTATAAAGAGTTTCTCTCATCTCCGCTTGACACCTGTTCGTGAGGAGGTAAACTTTTTTTGACTTTCTATCTTCTAGTTATATTTTCAAATTCTGCAGATGTTTATCCTGAGACTTTGCAGGCAAAGATAGCTGGTGAAACAAGCTTGGCTGGTAGTTTTCCGGGTTATGATGAGTATGTACCAATGGTTGACAAAGCCGTCGACGCAACCTGGAAGGTGAAACCTGCCATCCAGAGAGTGGCTTCAAGAGGTTAGTTAGCTGTTATATGCTTTTTGTACAAGTAGGCTCCGATTTAGAACCAAATACTGAAGGAAAAGGATTTAACCTAATCCTTATTTACATAGGATTTATTTTCTTATTAGGATTGTTTTGGAGTTGGGTTATAAAAAACAGACCTTTTTGGTCTTTCTTTGTTTGGTGATCTTAACTCTATCTGTCTCCTTCAGGAGCTTTAATGTCTCCCACCGTTCCAAAGGATCCTGAAGGCATTAAGGATCGAGTCCTAGTAATGGTCATGGCGTTCTTGATGGCGGTTTTCACATTCTTTCGCACAGTATCTTATCATGTGACCAAGAAACTTCCAGCGACTACTACTTCCCCACTAGAAACCCAAGGAAACGCAACAGAACTTGGTTCTAATGGTGAAGGAGTTAAAGAGGAGTGTCGTCCTCCTTCTCCAGTACCAGACCTCACGGAAACCGATCTCCTAAATTGTGTGACGAAGAAACTGACAGAGCTCGAAGGTAAAATCGGAACTCTCCAATCAAAGCCGAATGAGATGCCATACGAGAAAGAAGAACTGTTAAACGCAGCCGTTTGCAGAGTAGACGCACTTGAAGCAGAGCTCATAGCTACTAAAAAAGCGCTTTACGAAGCTTTGATGAGACAAGAAGAGTTACTTGCTTACATTGATCGCCAAGAAGAAGCTCAATTCCAAAAGATGAAGAAGAAGAAGAACAAGAAACATCTCTTTTGCTTTTAAAGAAAAAAACCATCACCAGGCATCAAAATCTCTCTCCCCTCTCCTACACAACACAGTTCTTAGTTTGCTGTTCTTTAAGTATAAACAACAAACAAAACAAAAACTCTTTCATTTGACTTGATGTTAAAGCTAATACAGAGAGCTCTGTTTCCTTCTTTGATTATGAGCCGCTTTATATTATACAGTATATGTTTATTTTTATAATCATATAAAATCTGTAACGTTAATGCAAAACAAAAAAAAAAAGTATCGAAATTATTAATCAGGATTCTGTTTTTTTTTTTTAGGATTTTGTTTTTATCCAGATACAAAATATTGTAGCCACATATCCATGTAGTGATTATCTCTCAAGGTTTCTCAAAAGTTTTTCCATTTTTCTTTACTTCATATTTTGTTTTTTTAAGATCAATCAGTTTTTTCTAAGTACTTTTTATGAAGAGAAAATGGAGATAACAATATCTCAATGGTGCTCTCGAGTTAAGTTTTCATCATCATCATCACTGTTGTGTTTAAATGGAAACAGTAAGAGGAACAACCTAAATGGAGCTGTTTCAGTGAATTGCTTGAAAGAGATTGATCAGATCAGTAATATTAGCTTCACTGCGAAGAAACCGAGAAGTCACGCGCCGGTGGTGAGAAAAACACGCGCCTCCTTGGATGAGAATCAGTCCCCAACTTCCGGAGGAGAACGGTGGCTTCTCCAACCAGTTGGTCAGAAGCTATTTGTGTCTTCTCTAGTTTTTTTTAATATCACTGAAAATCTTTTTGAGTCTTCTTCTCTGAAAACATATAGGTGATGGAGACACAAGACACATTGGTTACAAAGTGGCAATGCCTGCTCCTTTCGAGATCACCTCGGTAAGAAAATATACATTCCAGTAGATAGATTTAGTTTGATGAGTTTTTTCTAAAGCTCACTAGAATGTGTTTTGAGCAGGGACAAGTTACCATCGGACGGCTACCGGAAAAGGCTGACGTCGTGATTCCTGTGGCCACCGGTATTTCTCTGTTCTTGTTTCGGTTTATTTTTGAAGTTGTGATCAAAGTGAATTTGGTTTTAATATGAATCAGTTTGATATAGTTTTGGTTTGAGGTTGAGTTCGAGTTATAATCAAATCTATCATTGGTTTTAGTTAGGTTCGGATTCGGTACCAGATTTTCGATTGTAGATTGTTTGTTAATTGTTTTAGTTTGGATCGGATCGTCTTGTTAAATCCGACACTCCTAGTCTTTTAACCGCAGTGTCGGGAGTCCATGCGACAATCAATACAAATGAAAACAACCTTCTTGTGACGGATATGAACAGCACCAACGGTACATTCATCGAAGACAAACGTCTAATTCCTGGTGTTGCTGCTCCTGCCTTTCCCGGAACCCGAATCACCTTTGGTACACCAATCTTTTCGTATGTTTTTCCATCTCTCTGTGAATGTAATGGACCGATCAATGACTTCAACTCTTTGTGTGACTTGCAGGAGATACAAATCTAGCAATTTTCCGTGTTTTCAAGCTCCAAGATAGGGAAGAATCCACAGAGAAACCAACCACAGAGTAACACAAAACCTGAAAATGGCTTCTCTTTACCGGTTTTTGCTGAAATTCTAAATTGGTCTACAACATTGTTGATTTATGGGTAATATTATATAACAATATATATAATTTTATAACATATATATTTTTGTTTTTAGTACGTTACAAATTAATTAGGTGTGAAAGAATGATAAGTGGTAAAACATAAGCTTTCAGATATTTCCAGGGACAAACAACAAAAAATTTACAGACAGCAAATTTCCACATTTTTATCTTTAAAAACTCTTCACGAATATATTTATGTTTATGTATAATAATTATTTATTTCCAGGTTTCTTCATAGTCTTGAGGCATTATCAAGTCTTTCAGAATCCGAAGAACTGAAAACAAAACCAAAAATACGTAAAATTAAATTAAATTAGAATAATCTTAAAAAAGAGTGTTTTAAAATGTGTTAGTTTGTTACCTTCTTCTTCTTTTTCTTCTTGTCGATATAAGCCATTATCTCATGCTGCGTAGCCATGGTTTCCTCCAGTGTCTGGTATTTTTAATAAATTAAATTGATTTCGTACCCAAAAAAAATAAAAATAAAATAAATTGATTTATAATAGAATTATAAAAGTGGTCTAAATCTTACAAAAAAATTAATAAAATAGTTTAAAATTTTATAATAGCCTAAATACCAACTTCTAAACTCTAAAATCTTAAAGCATAAATCTCACAATATAAATTCCAAAAACTAAAACATGAAATCTTTAATTATAAAACAACAAATAGTGGCTTATTTCTTTAATTTATAAAGATGTACCCTATTTTTTAATTAAGGTATTTTCAAAAGTTTATATTCTAATAATTTCTTTTATTAATCTTTGTTTTAAAAAAGTTTTTAAATCATAAAATAAATTTTAAAAATAAGAAACTAGTTATGGAGGCTGTTTAGCTGGTACCTTTTTGGTCTGAGCCAACTGAAGCTCAAGCTCGTCGACACGGCTAAGAGCGGCGGTGAGAATCTGTTCTTTCTCCCGCGAGAAGGCTGCCGGCTGATTGTCCAAATACCTACATTTCTCCTCCAGCTCCGCCATTCTCTTCACCATCGACATATACTCTTGGTTTGACACCATTGTAGTCTCTGCTTTCTCCGCTTCGCCACCATAAATCGCGGCCTCAGTGAGCTTCCTTGGCATGTTTTTCGTTAGCCTCACAACGGTCATTATCCCCATCATCAACGACATCACGCCGCCGAATAAATATCCTTCTCCTCCTCTCCTCTGCGATGGCTTCACCGCAGAGTATAAATCTGAGCCGGCAAAAGCATATATAGGAAATGAGTAGTATGTTTAGTTGAAGAATATAGCGGAATCGCTTTTCAAAAACGTGAAAATATGATTAATGTTTGGAATGGTAAGAAATAACGGAATCATGTTTTCAAAACATGAAAACACAATAGATAGAATCATTGTTTCTGTGTAGTGTACCTTCAGGTTCGGGATAGTTTGACTTGTGGAGATTTGCAGGCCAAGTAGAAGCATTCACAGTTTTGTCAATCATCGGTATGAATTTCGCGTTCTCTGCATCGAATTTGTTCTTCTACAAATATGATACTAAATCAGTCAAACAGAAAATCTAGAGAGAAAGAGAGAGCTAAAGAAGTAACCTTTATAGACAAAGAGAGAAACTCACCGCAAAGGAATCACATTTCTTCAAGCAAAAAAAACATAAGAGAATGTCAGATATTACTGTGAATTTCAAAGATCAAATATATTTATTGAGTTTTGTTTTTACCATTGTTGTGTTCTCGTCCACTGAGATTGTCTTCTCTTCAATGTTTGACAATGTCTTCCTTGGGCACTTCCCTTCTCCGTTTTGAACCATCTGTATATAGTTTAAAATTCTGCTTTTTAGTTCTTCGTTTCGTTAAAACGGTTTTCGAAGATTATCTAGTATCTTATAAAGTACCTTGAAGATGTCAGGGTCGTTCCATGGACCTTTGTCTGAACGCATACATCCACCTTTGTCTGCACAAGTGCAATTACCACCCAAGAACTCAGGAAGTTCACTAAACACACACAAAAAAAACAGATAGTTTTCAGATTATGAATTTGTAGCTAAAATGCAGAGTTTTGGAGAGCTCTGTTTCACTCTTACTTGGAGTCGATAATCTCAAGCAGTTTGCTTTGGTATTTGTTGCCAAGAACCTGTACATGAGAGACATGAGATTTCGGATAACCGTAGACCTTAAAAGAGTGACACAAAACGTTAAAAAGCTTACGTGAATCTTTGCGGTGGTCTTTGGGTCAAGGAAAGATTTCACAGTGCTCCACAGAAGCCTGAATCCAGAACCAGCGTTGATAATGAACATACGGTTCAATGTCTATATATGATCCATAAACACAAAACGATTCTCAGTACTGTCTTGAGTTGATAGTGTGGTTACAAACTACTTTAAAACCATTAAGAAACATCATAGTAACCTCAGGGTAGTTGTCGCTATCGATCTTCTGGATACGCTGAAGAAGATCCCTAGCAGCCTTGCTAAAGTTCTTCAACCCCTAGAAATCCAAAACAATAGCAGCAAAATCACACACTCATTCTCTCTTTTTCTTTGATCTGAATAACCAAAACAAATGTGGCAAGAGACTAGAGAGCATACCACGCCTTGCACATCCAAGATGGTGGTGCTCTGATCAATATGCTTCTTGGCAGCAATGGAGCAAGCTGGTAACTTGATATTGAAAGTCTTCTCAAACTCTCTCACATGGTACTTGACATACCTATCGATGGTAGTGACTTGCATCAGCTTAGTGGCATCCACTTGGCCAAGCCTCTCAATGTAAACAGGCCTTCCCTCTTTGTCAACACCATGGTAACCTTGAGGATAGTACTTGAGGACTTCGTCTATTTCCTTGAAATCAAAGTCCTTTCAAAGAAGAAGAAGAAAGAATCAGACTTTAGTCAAAGGAGGAGAAAAAAAAGATGATGATCCTAAAATGTTTGAGTTTTTGCACCTCCATGATTGTGTCAACACCAAACTCTTTCCTCCAATGGATCATATCAGTCCACATTTGCTTTGCTTTCTCAAGATCAAACTTCCTTGCCCTCAAAAACCTAAGCATCATGTGATGATCATCGTGTTTGGAAGGAAGGAGCTCGTCCAAGATAAGAGCTTGACGGAAAGCGTCAACAGCTTGAAGCTCTTCAAGATCAATGTCGTCAACGATAGAGACAGACATGACTCGGCTGTTCCTTCGAGTTCTCTTGGTGAAAGAGTGTTTGAATTTGTTGGAGGCATTGATTGCTTTCTTCTTCAGGGAACAAAGCTTTGTCTTCTTTTCATCCTCCGAGCCATCATAATCTGAAAAACAAAAACCTTAAATTTCAGAATCTTTGCTTAAAAGTCTCCTCCATTGCAGAAAGCTTCCTCTCCTTACCTAGCTTATTATGTCGATCCATATGAGCAGACATTGTATCCGTCATGCTTTATAGTCTGGATTTAAGCTTTCTGTTGTCACATAAAAACTGGTTAAATTCATAGAAAACCGCAGAATCCCATCTAATTTCATCAAGAGATACACATTAAAAAAAAAAAAAAAGGGTTCAGTTTTAGAGAGCTATTGAATCCAGAGAGTTTCCTTGGGGAACAATCAATCGATGAAACAAGAATCAGAGACACCCGTTAAGACCATTTGATCAAACTGGTTTTACGCATACATAACAAAAAAAGATTATCTGAAACAAACAAAGACATCATCTGAAGAAAAAGAACAAGAATCAAACCCACTTTTTTGTTTTGTATAAGAAACAGAAAATTGAAATGTGTAATGAAAAATCAATCAGGGAGGTTGGAAACAATCGGAATATTGAAACATTTAGCGATTGAGGTTGGTGGAAACTAATGAAGAAGAAGAAAAGATATAAAAGAAGATGGTTCTTGATTTTACCTAATAAGGATCAAAAGCTAAGGAAAGGAGAAAGAAGAGAGAAAGAGAGGTGTATATAATCTCTCTTTCTCTTTCTCTGAGTCTCTCTTACCCCCCAAAATAAAGGACGGCTCCAGATTTAGAATGCGAAATCTCAGAGAAACAAATCTAAAAGAGAGAGATAAAGCTTATAGGTATTGATAAAAAAAGGCTTTACCTTTGTTTTGAAAATCCAAAGAGAGAGATAGAGTTTTAGCTTAATCCATTAAAAGGGTTTTAATTGGAAAAAAGGTTTGACCTTTACATTGTGGCTTTGAATGGTAACCCATTTTAAAGCTGAACAGCTTTGTACAGCTTTGACAGTTACCAATCACAAAAACTTTATGAAAAGCGGTACACTATAACATAAACAGTTTTTTTTGGACAAAAACAAAAACAAATTAAAACGGTTACGGTTAAATACTGTTATGGTTAAATACGGTTACGATTAAATACGGTTACGATTAAATACGGTTATAACGGTTACGGTTAAATACGGTTATACCGGTTACGGTTACGGTTACAACGGTTACGGATAATTACGGTTATAGTTATTTGATGACTACAATACGGTTAATATCGGAGGCGAAATCTTACGAGTTACCTAACTTATTATAATACTTTTCATAAAATCAAAAAGTATGTTACAAACCAAATTTTCTTCATTTCGAGCAAAATAACAGTATAACATATTTGTTTGAGAAAAAGACCATTTTTTATGACGTAGATTTTTTCATACGCGGTATCATTTACTTTTTTGAAAATCTTAATCTGAACATTTGATAATTGTTTTTGCATTATATGGAGTTACAATTATAAATTTAAAGTTTTAACTATGCGGTTAACCATATGGTTAAATAACGGTTTTCATATGTTTACCGTTAATTAACGGTTTCGACTAGGCATGACCAAAAGCTAATCATAACCGTATTTTGGACCATAACCGGACCGTTTTTGTATAATTTTAATTTTTTCATAACCATTTAAATGTCATCACATAATTTTAAATTTTCATATATAATTATATATTAAAATACATTTTTATGTATTTTTTTTTCTAAACTCTTAATATTATTTATTATTTCTACCGCTATAATGTTTTCAATCTGAGTAAATTTTAAAAATTTGTTCTGCTTTATTTTTTTACAGCTTTAGTGTATTATTTTTTTGTACAGCTTTGCACTATTCCCTAACAGCTAACAGCTCCAGCTAACCGCTCCAGCTAACAGCTAACAGCTTGTTACCAATCAGACCCTGTAACTTGTAAGAGAGAGAGAAAGAGAAGAAGCCATTTTTGTAGGGAGAAGAATGGCGCGTGTTTTGCCGTTTTTCTGGTAAAAATATATTTTTGTAAATGGATGAGAAAACATTATTATTACTGTTCAAATTTTTATTTTCCTAATGGTACCCAAATTAATTTTCCATCCTAAATATTTTTGTCAAAAATTATATGTATGAACTACTAGTCCTTCAATTTTTTAAATACCTTTTTCTCTTTTTTAAAGTAGCTTTTAGTAGTATTTTTTGAAGTTAATAATACTACTATTTGACTAACTTTAATTAATATATAGTGCACATTAAAAAAACAATCTTCATTAGACTAAAATATATATTTTGATATGTTTTCTGATACAATTTATAACAGTAATTTTAATAATCATATTTTATACACTTATATGGAAAAAAGTGAAAATATATATATATGAAAATTAGAATCATGCTGTATTTTCTTAATAACTCTAGAAAAGAAAATTAATGATTAGGAAGAGAGCTGGTTTTCTTACTTTGAAATTGTTAATTAAATTTTTTTATTTCCGACAATATAATTATGAACGGCATGGCTGATGGCTTTTGGCTTTCCCAAATAAATTAAGAGAATTGATAAAATTAAACAGTTATCATTAATTTCTTTTTCTTTTTCTAGTGTGTCAACAAGTTAGTAAGTATCATTTATTTCTTCCAGCGAAATACAATAAACGGTATTTATATTTTGATATATGGACCGACCGACCATCATGAATGACCCCAAGCTTCCAGCTCCCATATTAATTGACTTTATAATATACACATTAATGATAAGAGTAGACTACTTATTTTGTATAAAAAATACTATTGTGTATTCTTTTTTTGTTAAATAAAGTAACATTTTTGTAAAATAAAATTTCTCAATTTCGTAAAAAAACCTCTGAATTAAGAAAAATTAACCTTGATAAAATCAGGTCAATAAATACTTTATGTTGTTGATCCACTAATCAAAGTTAAATAATTTACCTAACGCTATTAATCGCATACTGTCACACTATTCAATACTACTACAGTTTAAGGGTTAACTAACCAAAATTTGGGCCTAAAATGTGAGAGACTATCTCGGCCTCATAGTTTTTTAAGTGTCATTAACATTGATAGGCCCAGTTACGGCCCAATAAAGATTGATTATTCTGATTTCGCCGCCTTCTTCATTTTGTCCATGGCTACTCCTGCTGCTACGGCGATTCCGATGGCTATGGCGACGGAGAATTTACTTCTCCGGCGTCGTCTACTTGTTGGAAAAATAAAAGCTAGTGTCCTCACAGATTTAATTGATATGTTGTGCTTTGGATTTTACTAGAGTCTGCTGCTGAAGCATCTACAACAGTGTATGGGTCCTGAATTACTGATAGGTGAGTTTTAATATTAAAAATAAGACTCATATGGATGTAATCAACTTGAACTTATTCCACTTGTGCGTACTTCATGAAATTGCATTTTATCAACCACAAAATCATGGTATTACATTTTAGAGTTCACAAATTTTATTTCTTACATTTAGATCTAGTGGGAATTGTCAAAAATTTTCCAAATTTAAACATCAATAATGTGTTTACTGCTTAGCTTGTAAATCCATTTGGACCATTCTACACTAGTCATTCTTTTTTGAAAAAAATTTACACTAGTCATTCTTTAATCTTAATTTAGATGGAATTGACTTGTAAAAGATTGCATTATTAGTTTTATTTTGTAATTACTTGTCGAGTTTTCGAGGAAGGTCCAATGTTACTGTTCAGAGAATGTTACTTCTAATGTAAACACAAGTTTCAAAATTGTTTAAGCTGGTGCGTTGTGCGTTGACTATTTGAGTTTCTTCCTTCGATTCCAGATTTGGATCCATCCAAGTTTCTTTATTGCATAATTCTAATCTCTCTTAGAGTTTGCAGTTGAATAAAAAGCTTGTAACAAGATCTTGCTAGATTTCAAGAAATTCCTTTTTCCATTGAAGTTGTGTTTTTTTTGTCAGTCATTGGATTCTTGGTTGATTTTAAGTTTCAGAATATGGCTACTGGTGAGGCAATGTTTATCAATGGCCAAAGCACAGTTTCAGTTACAAGGAGGAGTTACCAAGTTGTAATAGCGGCGACAAGAGACATGGGTCTTGGTATGGACATGAAACTTCCTTGGGATCTACCTACAGATTCTCAGTTTTTCCACGATGTTACAACTAGAACAACCGATCCCACGAAGAGGAATGCGACTATAATGGGAAGAAAATCATGGGAATCTACTCCTCTCGAGATTCGTCCCCTTCCTGGTCGGCTCAATATTGTCTTGACAAAGTCTAGCTGCCACGACATTGCCACTGATGAAAATGTATTGGTGTGTAGTAGCATGGAATCGGCTCTTGAACTTCTAGCCACCGAGTCCTATTCCTTGTCCATTGAGAAGGTCTTTGTCATAGGAGGCGGCGAGTTGTTAAGGTGTGCATCTTTTTTCCACATGGTTTTTCTAAAAAGTATAAACTTTGAGACTTTAGATTTTGAAGTTTGATGTCTAGATGTGGTTGATGGTACAATGGTTGAAGTTCTTTTGAGACCTTAAATATTTGCTACAAAGTATGGACCAAAACACTAGTTTAGTCCTTTAATTGTTGTGGTTTCTCTATAGGAATTATATGAATGCACCCAGCTGTGATGCTACCCACCTAACCGAAATCGATATAAGCGTGCCATGCGACGCATTTGCACCGAGGGTGGATACTTCTCTATACCATCCGTGGTACTCATCATTTCCAATTGTGGAAAATGGAATTCGGTATAGCTTCAACACTTATGTCCGAAGAAAAGATGACATTGTTAGATTTGGTGAGAACAAAAGTGCTGCTGGATCAGATTTCAAGGAGTACTCGTTTTTGCCTAAGATGGTTTTTGAGAGGCATGAGGAGTTTGGTTACTTGAATCTTATTCAAAACATTATATCTAGTGGAGACATGAATGACAACAATACTCTTACCAAATTTGGCTGTCAGGTGAGCTTTGCTCAATCTTTGTTAGTATATTTCTCCTTTAATTGAGCTTACATGTTCTTTATCTCTTAATTTGATTCATTACAGATGCGATTCAATCTGCGCAAGACTTTCCCGCTTCTCACAACCAAGGCATGTCTTCTTTTATTCACATCTCTTATCAAGTAGTTCACCTTTATTTGATCATAGAGATTAATTTTGTCGGTTTTTGTATCCATCGTCTTGCAGAAAGTATTATGGCTAGGCGTTGTAGAGGAACTCCTACAACTTATCAGTGGTTCAATCAATCCCAAGGTAAAACCAAAAGAGACCTTTGTGCTATACTATACAGTGAATGACAATGATCATGCCCAAAATCCTTGAGTTCAAGATTCTGTTTCTTTGGTTATATATGGACAAAGCACCGAGAGTGACATATTATATCTCATAATGTTCGTTCAGGAAAAGGGTAGTAATATATGGGACAGCGATGAAGCTAATGAATATCTTAACAGGCAAGCAGAGAGTTTAGAATTTAAAATGTAGTTTTACTGAAACCAAACTCACATTGATGCTTATGTTCCAGTTTTGGAGTGAATGCCACAGAAGAAGATGGAGACCACCAACACTTGTATGGACTCCAATGGAAACATACTGATGCTAGGTTTGTGGTTATCTCGTCTTTGAATGATTGTTCATATGTTTTGCTTCTTTAACTAATTGTTCAAAAGTTCAGTCAGCTCTCTGATGTTATAAACAAGATAAAGAACAATCCTCATAATCAAAGAATCATGCTTTCGGCGTGTAATCCTTCAGCTTTAAAGTTGTCGGTATCTCCTTGTCAGACGTTCGCAGAGGTTAGCACGTTTACCATCTGTTTTGTTCAAGTCTTAAAACTTGTTATACATTTCCATTGTAAATCATTTCAACGTTTCAAAATATACAAAATTGAAAATGGTTTGGTTTTGGTTGTTGTTGCCAGTTCTATGTGGCAAATGGTGAACTTTCTTGTCAAATCTACCAGAGCTCAACCGAAGCGAGTATCGAGATTCCTTTCAGTATCGCTACATACTCTCTTTTGACATGCATCATCGCTCATGTTTGCGGTATGTATACATTTTATTAGATCTTAAATCTGTAGTAAAAGAATGAACCATATGCGCGTTTTCTTGTGTTGATAGATCTTGTTGCTGGTGATTTCATCTATGTGGTTGGACAAGCCCGTATTAATAAAGCTCGCGTCAAGGCTATACAAAAACAGCTTCAAATCTCCCCAAAACCGTTCCCGGTAAGTACTATCACAACTTGTTCATATAAACCTTATTTTGCTCTCTCTCAAATCAGTAAACAATATAACTTCTTCTGTCTCTCCAATGTATTAACGGTACAAACAGATTCTGAAAATCAACCCTGAGAAAAAGAAGATGGATAACTTTGAGGCCTCTGATTTGGAACTCCTGGGGATATGACCTGCTTCACAAAGACTCTTGTTGATTCTTCTTTTCATTACATTTACAAGATGAACAAAGTTACAGAAAACTTATACTTCATAATATATATAAGATGAACAAAATTATACAAAGAAACAAAAAAAAAAGAAAAGCTAAAACAAGATTTTATGCTCGGGCATTGAAATATTTTTTACCCGTATATATACAAAACACTCACAAATATATATGTGAATGTTATTGCATAAACCAAAGTTTTTCTTTCTTTTTTTTTCTTTGCTTTTTTTAGGATTTTACATTTTAGATGATTCAAAATTACTCTTCATCCTTTTGGTTCCTCCTCTGTCTCGCAATGAAAGACTCAATCTTGTATCGTAGTTCATCATCGGAAACAAATTCATCAGCAGGTCTCTCTGTCTTCGATCTCTTCAGTTTTCCACAAGTACTCTTCTTCAAGCCCTCCTGATTCTCCGACCGACTCCTTTCGTAACTCTTCATTGGACTTTCCTGGTTTTGAGCAATGATTTGTCTGTGTCTCTTCACAGTTATGTCCTTCTTCTCTCTCTCTTCACCACTGTTCTCAGTCTTGTTTTGTTTCTCTCTCTTTTCTTCAGTGCTCTGTTTTGCCCTGTTCTCGGACATGCTCTGTTTTGCTCTGCTTTGTCTCTTATCTTCGATGCTCTGTTTTGCTCTGTTTTCTTCAATGCTCTGTTTTGCCACGCTCTCTACTTCACTCTGTTTTTCTCTGCATATCACATCGGCGTGTAAACTCCGTTCACCTCTTGAGCTCTCCCGAACAAACTCGTCGTAAAAATCATTGCTGTTTCTCCGTGCATCAGTTTCTTGATTCACAAAGAACCCGCACTTGACGACTATAGTGATGACTATCGCATTCCCCAAGACGAAAGCAAGGTGACGGTTAATGAGAAAACCCGCGAGACCAGAGTTCTCGAACGTGATGACTAGTTGGTAACAGAGTTTGGTTACTGTAACCATAACTAGGGTTATCTCGATCACCCGGTAAAACAAATCTAAGAGTATTTGAGCCCGAGACTTCTTCACAACAATCTTCATCTTTCTTGGTTTAGCCTTCTGATTACTAAACGAATCCATTGGCGTTTAAAACAGTAGAATCAGAAGGAGAAAACTTTGTAACTTCAGGTTTAAAACGTCTTTAAGATCAAACAAATATGTTGTCAAGAAAAACGATAAATTGATTCTCAGTTTGTGGAGCAAAAAAAAACAGAGAATAGAGAGAAGAGTGTGAGTCTGTTTGTTTTCTCTTTGTTCTTGTGTTAATTTTTAGCTTGAGAGAATGTAACTTTGCAATGTGAGTATTTATAAAGAGGGTCACTGAGTGCATTTGCTTTCTTTTTCCATGAACCACTTCTTTTGTTTTTTTTCTTTTTCAATTGGATTAAAGTTATTATGTTCTTATATTCAATAAAAGTTAATTGATCTTTCACCCTTAAATGAATCTCTTCGAACTGAAGACCAACAAAAATCATAGTCTTGTGTCCTGATATTTACATTTGACTCCATTGTCTTGTTGTATTTACGTTTATATGTAAAAATATGATATATTTATCATCAAATAAAATACTAATAGCTTAGTAATATATTGCAGAAAAATATATGCAAATTTGGAACTCAATATGGGTGTAAATGATACCATAACTTGACATTTTGATAAGTTTTTTTTTAAATGTGGCTTAAAATACAAAACACTTATATTTTAACAAACCAAAAAAACATATAAAACTTGTAAATAACAACGCTTAAACAATCACACCAAATGCTGTAATGTTTAGTGATTTACACTTTTCACAAGTTTGACAATTAAACTTTAAAATATTATTTTTTGGACAAATATCTAATTTAAAGAAGGTTAAAAGTAAGTTATTTTGAAGAAGAAGAAAAATCAGATGATTAGAAGCTAATGATTTTATGCCGATTTTTTTTGGAAAAATAAATGTATAGTTAATTATTATATGATTTGAATAGGAAATTCAAAATTGTGGTTCACTCTGTTATAGTATGCCAATCAAACAAGTAACATATTCACTTTCTTATAAAATACTATTTGGTCATAGAAAGTGTGCAGTTCCTAAAGGATTTGTTAGTTAAAAAGCCATGCTTCACTTGTCAAACAATGTAAAACAATCTATTTCTATAATTCTCATATATATTCCAATTTGTGGGTTTCGTAATATACATATTTACAGTGAAAATAAAATTTTATGAAAGGCAGAAATATTATTTCTAAAAGTAGAAGTAGTCATATATTAGAAGCAACAAAATGAAACAATTTTAACTATGGAAATAAAAACAAATATACTACTTGTCAACAATGGTTGCATATAATAATACCACAAATTTATCAAATCATTGTAAGTGACTCAAAATTTTCTACATAGATAGATGCAAATTCGATAGATACTTGCGGGTATGTGTGGGATATTTATCTCTAAGTTATAATTAAATTAGTTATCACATTGTTTGTTTCATTGGTAAAATAGCTTCATGCACTATATTTTCTTCATCCATTTGTAATTATTTACTCGAGTCATAAAGTAGCCCACCCATTAGTTTTGTATGTCCATTTAATACACTAAATTAATCTCTTAAAATAATGCGTGTCACCATATTTTAAATAAATTTTGTTGCAAAAGTTTTTAAGACTTGAATGATTGGTACTGTCTATGGTGCCAAATAAAAACACTTTAGGATATAAAATATATATGCTATTAAAGAAATTTAAAAAATCTATATCATCCTTATTTCCACCCAAAACATGCTACTTCTCCAATTCATAATTTAAAATATAGAAGAAACCATTACTTCTTCACTAAGAGATTGAGAAATGGCCTATACTTCCACAACTTCTCTTTGTTAATGTGTTTCTTTATGTCTTGTCTCTTTCTAACCAAAAGCATGTATATGTGGTTTCATTTCAATTCTAATTTTTGTTATTGGATACACTTTGAACAAAAAATTAAAGCCCCACTTCTTTTTTCATAAAAGACATCTTCATAATTGCTCATGAGTGTAACGTGTCGTTCGATGCTTCAATCAACATTATGCAAATAATGAAGTGTATATGTCTACGTGTTCTAACTTCTTAGACATAAATCACACTTATCCATAAATAGTTTACGTCTTATCTCATACTATTATCAACCGATTTAGATCCTAATTAATTTGAGTTACAGTCTTCAAATATCTTTTTTTTTTTGGTCAAACTGGTTTTATAGATAGATAGACGATCCTTACAGAGCAGGAGTAGCTAAAACAGTTAAAGAAGATAAGGTAGACATTGCTAACGCATCAGCTAACATATTAGACTTGCGTGGTACAAATAGAAACTTGATAGATAAAAGCGAACGACTAAAGAAGGCAATATCATGGAGAATCCCTTGAAGCTCGTTCGTAGTGGTCTCTGTATTTAGCAGAGATATGAGGACTTGCGAGTCCGAAAAAACTTTGATGGAGGTGAATTCCATTCTAGACGCTGCGATCAGCGCTGATCTCAAGGCCAAAGCTTCAGCAGCTAGAGCCGAAGGTGTATGGAGGCGAGTTGCCGAGCCCCGATGGATAACTCGATGATCTTGAGTCTTGAAAATCCATCCCATACCGCAGGAGCCAGAGGATGCGATCCAAGCTGCATCCGTGTAGCAAGAAAAAGCCTCATTGCGAGGGATTCTGTGGAGAGGAGCCTCAATAAGAGGTAAACTGAGAGAAGGAGCCTCAATAAGAGGTAAAAAATAAAACTCCATAAAGGAGTAATCATGCGACCGCATCCAAGGCAAATGAACCATCAAAGCCTTGTTAACTACCAACGCACTCAAAGAGTCAAACGTGACCAACATTGGGACACATACCCATTGAATGAGGCATACGATTGCAAATACCAACTCACAGCTCAAGTAAACTGTAAGAATTAACAAGCCAGAAACGAACCTGGTAGAAAATGAAACCGGATCGAGACCGGAACAGAACCTGCATACTGCAGTAAAGGAACGCCTAAAGGCGAAATGAGTACCACCAAAGGGCACAAAAGGAGTAGCCAACAGACCCGAAGAGGCCACATGACGGTAAGCGCTCAGATCTAAGATCTGAGAAAAGTGAAGTGAAGGTGAAATGGGAGAGAAGATGGTAGACTCTAACCCTGGTCCAACAAACGAGACGTGGAGGAGTAATACCGGAACTGGCCGTGTGGTGAGGAGCGGGAGCAAAACGGTAAAAGGTTGCAAGGAGCTTTGGCCGGATTTTGAAAGAGAACCATGAAAAGGAGTGACACGGATCTGTTCTAGCGGAGGATCCGGTGGATCTGGAGGAACTGGAGGCTCTGGCGGAGGAGGAGGATCCGAAGCCGGTGCCGGAGAAAGCCTCAGTCTGAAGTGAGCGAGCAGCGCCGTTGGAAGATGGGGACTAAGTGAAGCCGCCGCAGATCCAGACATGGCAAGCAAGACGCCGGAGAAAGCCGGTAAAACGCCGGAAAAGCCGGTAAAACGTTAAAAGAGTTCGAAAGAGGTGAAAGCAGACACCAATCAGGAGGTCGGAACGCCGGCGGAGGAGCTTCTCTTGTGGTGAAACGCCATTCGGAGAAACGTTGAGCGGCTCCTTGGGAAGTGTGCCTGGGAGAGAATTAGGTTTCGGTGGTTCAAAAAAAAAAAAAAAAAAAAAAATACAGTCTTCAAATATCTTGAACCTGAAATTTACAATTAATCACATACTCATTCGTGAAGACCGATACGATCACTTAAATTAGCAATGGTTCTATTTGTGTAATCTCTGTTAGGTTTGTATTTTTGTTTTTGGTATAACAATTTTATGTAAAAAAAAAAATCTATGTAAATTGGTTTAAGGGAGACTCACAAAAATGCCCCTTTTTCAATACCCCTTTTCAAAAATGCCCTCTTTGGCTGTCCATTTTTAAAAATACCCTTTTTATGTACAAAATGACTAAATTACCCTTCTTTTAATAAAAGATATCACAAATATATAAGGAAATATAACAAAATTAGGTCCACAAAATACAAAATATTTTTTGGCGGGAAAAGCGATCCCGCAATTTTTCCCGCCAAAACACTTGTAAAAACCTTTAAAATACCTTGTAAAATTTTCCCGTAAAATTTTTTCCCGCCAAAAAAATTTTTTTGCGGGAAAAGTGATTCCGCAATTTTTTTGGCGTTAAATTTTTGGCGGGAAAAATTTACAAGGTATTTTAAAGGTTTTTTACAGGATATTTATAAGGTTTTACAATGTATTTTAAAAGGTTTTACAACGTATTTATAAGGTATTTATAAGATAATATAAGATTTTACAAGCTATTTTATAAGGTTTTACAAGTTATAAGGTTTTACAAGTTATAAATACCTTATAAAACCTTATAAGTACCTTGTAAAACCTTTTAAAATACATTATAAAACCTTACAAAACACTTGTAAATACTCTGTAAAACCTTTAAAATACTTTGTAAATATTTTCCGCCAAAAATTTTCCCGCCAAAAAAATTTCGCCAAAAAAATTGCGGAATCACTTTTCCCGCAAAAAAATTTTTTTAGCGGGAAAAATTTTTACGGGAAAATTTTACAAGGTATTTTAAAGGTTTTTACAAGTGTTTTGGCGGGAAAATTGCGGGATCACTTTTCCCGCCAAAAAATATTTTGTATTTTGTGGAACTAATTTTGTTTCAAATAAGGGTAAAATGGTCATTAAAAATTAAAAGAGGGCAAACTTAAAAATAGACTCTCAAAGGGGCATTTTTGAAAAGGGGTATTGAAAAAGGGGCATTTTTAACAATTTCTCTTGGTTTAATATACAGCTTCAATTTCAGTACACATTAATTTGTTTAAAATATATTGTAATTTTTTCTTTATTAATTATTAAATATATTGTAATTTTTAAATTAGGTTTTTGTTTTTGGTTTTGTTTTTCCAGTGTGATTAATTAGATAGTTAATTTATCCGGATTACATTTCAAAAAACATAACTAGTATTAAGCTAAAAGCTTTTTTGGAGCTCAGCCACAAATGAGAAATACATCTCTTCTTCACAAAAATATCACGCCAAAAAAAAAACACTGTATAAATTATTAATACTACAGATATCGTTTTTGAGTTATTTGATTCATAATTTTATATAATTTTTCCTTTTGTATTGAGAAATGATTGGACCTCACGAGGCACAAGAGAAAACTTTCTTTTACATAAAATGTATATGTGGGCCTTTAAAATCTATGGACTGTTTTCTTCTATCTATGATTTGAACTTAGGTTTATAGACTATGGAGCTTTACTGCACACAAACTAACACATGAATTTAGTTGATGAAATTCTTGTTATAATGTTAATTTAAGAAGAAGAAAAATGTATCCTTAGCCAAAAACAAAATTTTATATTATTCATTAAGATATTAATTAATGTGACCCCTTTTCTGGTGGCAAATCTATAAAGAACCAGAATCTGAGTTTCGTAGTTTATATATCGCTTTTGTATATCCACCATATGTAATTAATTCTCAAGTTCATCATAGAGATTAATTTTAAATTTGTATATTTTTAAATGAATTTTAAAACATTTATTTCCTCCATGGCATGTGAGTGCATGCTGATTCAGTGTCACTAAACTTATTTATCGAGGGACTACACTGTGTAATTGCCTATACTATACCAAAAGTCTTTAATAAAAATATAAATATATATACCAAAAACGACAAACAGTTTCACCACCACAGAAAAAAATGAATTTTATCCAGAAAGCAATTGTCCATGCAGAGGAAACTACTGCACAATATTATTATTTTTTTGTGAAAAAAAAAAAAAAATTTAAGTAATTATTTGTATAACGTGACAAGAAAAAAAAAACTGATTTTCAAAAAAATCCGACCTGCCGGAATCGAACCAGCGACCTAAAGATTACAGCAACTACTACAGTCTTCCGCTCTACCAACTGAGCTAAGGTCGGTTTATTAACTTTCGAGATTATATATTTATATAAACGAACGGTGGGCCTAGAATGCTAAGACGTAAAGCCCATTCATGGGGAAGTTTCATCCAAATAAAGTTCTACTTCTATCATCCATAGACAAGGAAGATTCACATAATTAATGACGTAAAAGTTTGACATACAAAATGCATTCATAAGTCATTTATATTAGGTCAACAATTTCAATAAAAAAAACAATGAAGTAGTTAACACTACAAAAAAAATGAGTGTATTGTATCATTTAAATTATATATATATATTTTTTTAAAGAGGGTAACCTAAAAAAAATCAATAAATAAATTGAGATCATCATCAGGCTTCTAAGGTTTAATTAGAGCTAGGTTTTTTTTTCTCTGGGTTTTGGACGCAAATTGCTTAATTCATCATCAAGTAAGTTTTGTGATGAATCATTGATTATAGGATCAGTCATCAGCTATTGCCACTATTCATCTCCTTTTTCCTAGTTTTATTTCTCTGTAATTTATAACACAATTTTAATTTGTGTTAAACAAACACATGTACTTAGCAAAGGATATATCCACCTGATCGATAGTAAACACTCTGATACTACATCTTTGTTGATACATCAATTTGGTTTTAGTTTAGTCTGTGTCTGGTTCTTAATTAGATTATTGGTTCTCATGGTACATAGATTTATTTCTAGATCTAAAGGTTTTGAAATTTAATGTATGTTTTGTGAATTTCTTAAGTTTACAGATTGTACAAATCATTATTTCAGGTTTTGATGGATAAGTCATGGATAAACAAACCACGTTTATCTCAAAATTACATATCCGGGGTAAAAGATTTCTTAGATTTTGCATTTGGTAAATTAAAGGTATACGTGATGAAATGTCCATGTAACCGTTGTTCTCTCCTCAAATATAAGTCAAGAGAAGATATCGAAGGTGATTTGATGTGGTTTGGCTTTTTAAGTTCTTACACAAATTGGGTACTACACGGAGAGGATGTATGTCTAACAGGAAATGCAAGAGTACCTTCTGATATTGCTTCTGATAGTAGTACTCTCAATCTCTGGTCAGTTTTCTCATGTTTAACAATGCCACAATGTTATTATTCATGGAATAAACTAACTATTTTGAAAAATGCAGAAGTGGACTAGGAATGCATGAAGTGTAACGTTTGACTGCGATCACGAATGCCATAAATGGAGATTTGGGAGCCATGGAGATTGCAAAGAATACCTAAACGGTTGCCTTTTTCACTTGTTCTTGTCAACTCAATTTGCCCGTTCCAAGGAATCGTAACTTTTGGTTTACAAGATCGTATTGTGATAATTAATGACAATACATTTGTTCTTTGTGTTGGTGATTATAAAGTAATAATAATATGGTTAATTAAGCGTTTTTCTTATGGGGATTAGCAAAAATACCCCTTTTCTCATGCCCCTTTTCAAAAATGTCCCTTTTAGATGTCCATTTTCAAAAATGCCCCTTTTTAAATCTGAAATTTTTATAAAGTTTTATTAGGTTTATAAGGTACTTATGGATTGTAACTACTACTTGAAGACTCGATCCAAGTATTTATAAGGTTTTATAAGGTGTTTTTAAAGGTTTTACAAGTTATTTTAAAGGATTTTTAAGGTTTTTCAAAGGTTTTACAAGATATTTTAAAGGTTTTTAAAGATATTTAAAATGCATTTATAAGGTATTTATAAAGTATTTATAATATTTTAGATACATAGAAATGTAGTTTGTGTATGTTTTAATAATATTACATACATATTTGGGTAAATCTTATATTTTTAAGAGCATTTTTTATAAGGTTTTAAAAAAGGGGTATTTTTGAAAAGTGGCATTGAAAAAGTGGCATTATTAACAATTTCCCCTTTTCTTATTCTAGAAATACTTTAGAAACTTATCGCTTTAGTGTGGGAATTTTATTAGTTAAGTATTTAGATATTATGTTAGGAAAAATCTTTATATTTGCAACATTAAATTAATATCTAGATATTATAGTATGATAGAGCTTAAGATAAAGAACATATATCTAGATACTTTTATAGTTTGGGAGCAAATATCTCTTCCTCTACTCATTTGCAATTAGATAGAAAAAAAAAGGTAGAAAATATAGAAAAAGTGAATCAAAGCAGATTGATAATTAAAAGAGTATTCTATATTCGTAAGTTCTCTCAATTATGTTCTAAATTTTCCAACGGTTCTCACATTTTCTTCATAACCAATCCAATGCATTTAGGAATTGTGTAACTCACCATAATTTAATTGGGTTTAATAAATATTTTGGGTTTATAAACATTAATGGGCTTGTTGAACAAAAAAACATTAATGGGCTTTCTCGGAGAAATTGAGCCTCTTAACGCTGAGAGACTCAGAAACCCTAATATATAAACAACGAAACCAAATCTTTCTCACTGTCGTCTCCTCTTGAGCATCGTCTTCGTCTCTCGTCTCTTCTCTACTCGCCGATCGTTACTTCTTCTCCGTCGAAATCACCATGGTTACTCTCGATCTGTCTATCTCTATCGCTTTGTTTCTCTTCTCTAGATTATCTAATTCTTGAAATGTTGTTTGTTTTCAGGCGCCAAAGAAGGATAAGGTTCCACCGCCGTCATCGAAGCCGGCGAAATCCGGAGGTGGAAAACAGAAG